ATAACACAAAATCCAGAAATAAATCGTTAACTCAAACTTAAGCAGTAGAGTTCGCTCTTTGATGCAAAAAGGTGTGAAAATTCTTATAAACAATAGTTGCAACTTCAAGCCTACGACAATAACAATATCTATTTGCATGGATTTTAGAATGACCCAACTTTAATTGCTGCAATAACCGATCATTAAGTTATCAGAGTGATGTATCATTGCGGCACTTTTATCGCAGTTTTAGGTACAAACAACAGCACGTTAAGCTTCACATTGTGACACTTACGTAGTTGCAATATGAGCGAATTTTGTAACCAAAAATGTCTGATCTGCTGTCGCCTGTACCTTGCTTTCGTTGCGGTTGCTGTGATGTTCTAGAAGCGACTAAACTGGTTTGATTGTGACTTATAATAGCATTTTATTAAAAGGTCTCTTCAGAACCAAACAAAAGCACCACGTTTTACTAGTAGAATGCAATGCATCATGGACCATCTGCGGCGGTTATAGACCTCGTATATAACCGTTATACCTTCTACAGCATATTTTTGATAAAAATAATGTTTCTTTAGAGTTGAGTAAGGGGCATGAGGAGAAAATGTTTTTAAACTTGCATATTAAACATAAACGAAAAAAACATGTGTATAAATAATAGTTTATAAATAATGTTCAAGTTATAAAAGAAAAAAAGTCATAAAACAATGCGACATTGACCTAAATGTAGTATAAACAATCATTGCAAGCAGCTCCGTCGTTCAGAATTTCCTGTTCTGTGACCGATGTGAAGGTACCGGCAGATATTACAAGCTCATACAAAGATAATTAGGTTCCGTTGCAAAACGTAATCAAACTTGTAATTAATGGTTTAATTTGAAAACAGATTTAAAAAAGTTAACTTGATTTGACGTACCAATTAACAAATCGGTTCTATTTTTGCATTTTTATAAAAATAATAACAAATATTATTTTAAACTTTAAGCGAATTTCCTTAATTTACCTGTTTCCTGTATCCTTGCTAGAGCTATCAAAAGCTATCTGACTAATTTACTGAAAATCATCATTATGTTAAAGCATTCGTTTAAACATCTCTCTAGATTTAGATAAACTAAAAGCTCTAAAACTTTCTTCCATTTCACCCTCATCAAGATTATTTTCAACAAAGCTCTTTGCCTAATGTCAAATCTATCTCTACCAAAATTCATTAAATTTATGTAGGTGTCAGAACTAAGGGCACAGCCCTACTATCTATATGGGGATCTCATCTAGCTGTGATACCGGGCACACATGACTGCCTTCGAATGACCTTAGCGGTGCACAGAATGTCAGGGCGGGTTGCTCGACAAGTGAATGACTCAAAACTACGGTAATTAGCAATTTTTATATTATTTTACATTGCAATTGCGTGATGTGATATAACGGCGTACATGATGACTTAATTTGTTTATAGGTGTTATAAAACGTTGACTGAAGTTTTATAGTGATCTTAATCAGGTTTGATGATCTTGATTGAAGGATCAGAAGATGTTCTAATAATTAATCGTACAATCAACCGAATAAGTATTCTTATTAATAGATAGGTAGGCACACTTTATTTTATAGGTCATTCCTATTAAAGATGGTTAATTAATAAATAAATAACTTTCTAGAACTCTATCTTGAGGACACACGCAAAATCGAAACAGTACTAGTTGTTGAATATAGTTGCCAAGCGCGTCTCTACAAAACCAATGATTGGGGGAAATGAACCAACAATTACAAACATGAATCAAATGATGACTAACTGCAAAAATGTTTAATGTTCCATTATTTGTTGCAAAACACGTGTGACCCATTTATTTGTTGCCAGAGACATATTGTGTTCGTTGCCAATAAACTTCAGATTTCCTAATCACTTGGATGCACGCAAATGCGGCAAATTATGCGCGCCGGCGCAGCATTGTCGACACGATGCGCCTTAATAGTACCTATTTTACAATATAAATATTAATTTCTACTTACAAACTGTAATCATAATCAATCATCGATAACTTGACGCTAATCAATGCAGATTGCACTCTGTGTTTTTTTAAGTTTGTAAATACAATGTCACTACAAATAACTCTAATTTGAAGATTTACGACTGTGTTAAATAGCTTGTGTGTGTATAGTTTTTACTGCTAATGCTTAACGTTATATAATTTCCCGTTTAATTCAACCCATCGCTGTTAATTATTTAAATATGGTTCTAGTTTCCCAACTTAAATTCGAAGTAGGTCGTAACATAATCGTCAATATTTGAATAAGAAGTCAGCAACTCTTCAAAAGGCTGTAATGTTGCTTAAAGCCCTCATTTTACGCTCGAATCAGTAAACAAAGTAATTAGCGAATATCAATTCATTCAAACATGGGCACAGCATCTTCGCGTTGTAAGTTGTGTCCAAACTTAGACTAAGCGCAAGCGCATGACCTCGCCCATAATGCACGATTGTTGGCACAATTAAGAGTTAATCTATAAAGACAAAGACCCGGCAAGGTTACTGTGAGCACCATAGACACGCCCTGCTGATTCGTGCCCGACCAAAGCTGACTAAACAATGGTTTCTACTAATGATAGAGCTTAAACATGGACTGAGATAGTGAATCGGCCATTTATTTTAACTCTATTATGTATTTTTAACCCAGATAAAAACGGAAGCTACAAATCTGTAGTACTTTATGTTGTTGAGAGGAATTGGGCGTGGATGTCACATATCTTCAGTTAAAAAGGAAGGATCGGAAAATACGGTCCAGGATTAAATACATCAATTCGTATTCAGTCAATATTCTACATTAAGTTCTTTACAGCTTATTGCTGAAATAATTATTATTAGAGGTTACTTAAATAAATTCCAATTTAAGTTCATGTAATAAATGCTGTCCATAAATGTTTCCTCTGAGTCATGCCTAGTGCATCTAAATGAACAACCTTGACTTATCTTGTTAGACACCTTGATCACGAATAACTATTGCTCGTAGCTCATCACTACTGTAAAGGACAGTTAATGGACAAATGAAACCTAAGAGCTCCAGTTGGGAGAACACTTTAATGGCATTTGTTCTGCTACTATCGAATTAGTTGCGAGTATCATTTAGAATAATGTAGAGTCGTACGTCAAGACACTGTGGCAACTCATGAAGTATTTACCTATCTTTTAATAATTTTACTATTCATTAAATAAACCATAAATATAATTTTCTGTGCTGTCGTCTGTACATACATTACAATCTCCCTGATCACTCCCTTAAACTTAAAGCGACAAGATCCTAGCATAGTAAACGCAGGTTTACTCACACGATTTTTACTAGACATTTACCTTAACATCATTAGTGATACTCCCCAATTTAAAAATAAAGGAAGAGCAGCATCATCATAGACAACCACTCTAATCTCATTGATTAGCCTGAGATCCGTAAACATGTCTATAAACTTTATGCGGTACAAATGTCGAGGCCAACTAAGTTTTATAAGTATTTTTAATTTATCTATATCTTTTATTCTATTCAATGGTCTATCCGTGAGAACTATGATCGGTAAAATCTATGTACAAGTAAATAGGTACTACATGGTTAGCTTAAACACATTGAGCTACTTACAGTATTAATCTTCCTATTACCGATGATTAATATTTTATATTCGTTGATGTTGATACTAGGGAAATTAAAAATAATATAAATAAAGGCTCGCATACTGAAACGACGCTGAAAACTACACGTATTCAAACATAACATTGAAACTATTGGTTATTTAAGTAACCGTTTAATAATGTTAATTTCAGGATAACTTACGAAATCTTAGTAGGTAGGTACACAACAACCATATAAAATGTAACAGACCATACTTCTAACTTTTCGATACAATGTTGACAATCTTAAAGACAGTACGTATGAGTAAGTACATACAACTTTTAAATCAAAATCTATGTAGGGAGGTGTTGAGTATGATTATGGGAATTAATTTTAATAATCAAAAATTAATTAATTCTTTACTTAAGTAAGTAACATGTCTAACTTAATCGTTTTGTAAATGTCATTCGCAATGCATATAAAATAAAATATTAATTTTATTAGTTGTCACAACAACTATTAAGTGGAGTTTAATTTATTAAAGCTAATTAATAATTTATGTAGTTATTTTATTATAGCTATGTTTGACTGAAAATAAAAATTAAAAGATCAGCCTCCACTGCGAATAAGTAAGTAAGTAAGTACCTAAATTGATTTTTATCGTAATTATAAAATAATTGCTACGCCCTTTTGACACGGGATACGTTACATAAACACTGCAAAGACACCCCGAACATTCTAATGAATGAACACGAGGGAATTTAAGTTGGATTAAAATTCCCACCTTAGACAATTCGATTTTTTCAAGTTATTTAAAAATAAAATATAGAACTTGTTATATAATTAAATAGATAATTATGGACATGTACATCACAGCTTATTTGATTGTAAACCTCATTAGTACTCGGATATTACGTAAGTAATCGATAAAATATCACTTTAAGTAAGTACATACAACCATAATAATTGCAAATTGATAAGATCCTAAGATGCTGGTTAAGTGCCGGTATAGTTCCTTTACACGTCCTTACTTTCTATTCCTAATTAACGCTTAGAATAATCTACTGAAAATTATTTTTATAACTCGAGGCATGAATGATTAGCTTATAAGATACAATAACACAGAATGACACAAGTGTGAATATATTACGAGTAGGTACATGTATATTCTCTTTAGGTTTAGAAAACTGAGAATTTTTCTCCCGCACAGTCATAGGCATGAAAAATCGCTCGCGCGCACTGAAAACCAACTCCTTGCCAAAGGTAGGTACGGTCTCCTTCATTACGGTTCGTTCCATGTTATTTTGAGCCATTAGTTCTTAGAGACCATAAAACCCTTAAAACATGTTTGCAGTACCTAATGTATTATTCTAATGTTAAACTTGTTCCCCAGATTAACAACGCTCAGAGCCAAGTTGGCTCAGCCAACTCACCTGGAATAGCCATTCCAAGCTCCAGGTATTCCTTGACTGAAGGACTGAGGAAAGCGTGAGGGGCGGGCGCTGCATCAGCCTCCGGTTCTGGCGCGTCCAGCGCTTGCGCAGGCTCCCTCGCTACATTAGACGCGTCTGCTCGTAAGCGCTTCACGCGGCTACCTTCTTCTGAAGTACCTGAGAATTAATTACTTATATTATGATTTGCCTTTTATTAATTAAATCCCTTTAACCACTAAAGGGATTTAATTAATAAATGGCTAGGCAACGACAGCCTTTTATCAGTGTTGAACAGTTGATTACGTTAGATCGCGTGTAAGCTTCACGCGACTGTCTTCTTCTGAAGTGCCTGCAGAAATTAATTTAAAAACATTTTGTGGTTGAAACTTTACTCCTCTTCTGATTTTCGTTGCGGGTCCAATGACACTTTAACTTTCTCCCGGGATAAACTTGACCGTCGTTGGGTTTTTATTGGCGGTTAAGCTGTAGATCCTGGCTACACAGGAGTTGCAGCGGTGAGAACGATAGGCGAGAATAGTCCCTATGTGGCTGAAAGGAACAACCTCATAAAGGTAACGAAAGATTGAAAGAAATAGTTAACCTTATAAAAGTAACGAAATAAGCAGGCCGCTACCAACCGGTCAATATGAAAATCATTGGAGGAAGCTTGATCAACAGTGATGATGATGATGATGAAAGGAACGGACTAAATTAATAATGGCCAGTCAACACACTACACTTGTTATGGTATTGTAACAACTACGTTATCAGTGTTGGTCGAGAAGTAAGTAGAGCGCAAGAAGTGGTCGATCTAAACAACGCCAACTAGCGAAGCACCTAAATACCGCAAACTATCTTTTTAAAATCACAAAACTGCGTTTAGGTGGAAACCCTTTATGAATGTGGGGATCAGACTTTGATTTGATTTAACTTTTGTTAAGTGTCAGACAACGAACTTTATCTAGATCTAGACTTATGAATTTCTAAGTACACCTAGACTCAAGTTAAAATTAAACGTGTGTTGGCCTCAAGCACTAGGGAAATCAATTAGCCGATGACCAGCTAGATAACGTGTATTGGGTAGGGAAGGCCTGTGTCCAGCAGTAGACTAAAGTGGGCTAGTGCTGATAAATATTTACTTGTAGCATAGCAGGCTAGGCCGGCTATGTGGTGAATATTCGCTAATTACGAGTGTTCTAGTCTTTTAACTTGGTATCATACAATGTGAATGTTTACAATATTATTATGTGGGAATTACATGAAACCTTCAAAGTTCTCGGCATTTACATTATGCTTCGCTCAATGTGGAAATATACGCAAAGCGGTGTAGATTAATGCCTGTACTGTACTGAAAAATAAATATGTAGGTATATATGTGGATGCACCATCCTAATAATTATGTTCATTTCTCCTCTAAAGTTGACTGGAGGATACTTAGTGCCAAATGACAATTTACTGTATTTTATGTGTGCAAGTATTAGGTACTTAAATAAATTGTACCTACACCTTCCAACCATGTCCATTATAACTACCTATAACCATATTGTAATGTACAATTAATAATAGTGTCTATAAAGTTTTAATCTTACCAGTAGTCGCCAACAGCAACAGCAGCACGACGGGCATCACGCCCTGCGCCGCGGGTCTATTCATCTTAGACAGTTACGTTACGTTCAAATTCAATCACCATAACACATATCCCGCACGATCGTGTCACAATCGGTAAGGCTCAAGCCGGCATTGAAGTCGACTGAAGGTCTCAGAAAAGGATTGACGAATTTCGTAACTGTGGCTTATGGCTTTATATACGTCGCGGTGTTGGTTTATATGTTGCGCAAACGATACTCGCGTGCGCTTTCGGAGGCAGTCAAACGCGCAGTGCTGGCGCGCGCTTTACCTCAAGCCTCTTAACTAACTGTTGGACTGCACTAACTGACCTCTATCTCTTCGCAGCACTTGCGGTTTGGTGTCTTTAAACTAATAAGCTGCATAGGTACTCTAACAGATTCCAAAATTGGATAGCTTTGAGAATTTTTTCCACTACGAGAAAGATATGACCAACTTTATTCTACGTAAGCTATACCTACTAACCTTTTTACTCATCAGGGAGGCCGAAACATCTAGGATATCTGCATCCTCTGCGTAAACCAAATCCTCCTTGTCTTCTGGAACATTAGGGCGTCCTTCTGCAGTATTTTCTAAAACTCTGAAAGCATTCAGTTTCATGCAAGCCTTCAAAAATCCATATACAGGGTGGAATTTTGTAATGCCACGTCATATATTATAACTGCAGATAGAAATTTTTCTCAAAGAAAACATTCCTTTATTTTTGAAAATAATGAAAAATTCATTCAAATATTTCCGAAAATTCGCTTGTAACACCCGGGATTCGAACCGACTAAGTATTAAAATCTGTTAAAATTACAACCTGTACTTTTATTGCATCTATAGTTAGGGTCAATTATTATAACAAACATGATAATAAAATTAAAAGAAAACATTAAATCTTTACATTACATAAAATGGTAAACTCGAAATCCAAGAAAATAGAGCCTACTTCGAATAACTAGTTAATCAGTTGTTTTACCATGTTTTCAAATACCTACTTAAAATAATTTTAATGCGTTGTTCGAAATCCAAGGAAATAGAGCCTATTTCGAATGACGAATATCGCAGTTGCTTTACCATTTTTCAAATACCTAATAAATAATAATAACATGATGAATGTGCTGTAAAAAAAAAAACAAAATAAACTTGTTTGTTACCTACTGTGGGTCTAGACAAAGTGCAAATTATAATCGCAAACCAGTCGATAAGTGGTCGAAAAGCCCCTTTTTTGTATGGAGTTTTGACGGATTCGATTTTCGATTCGATCAAAAAGTGCGTTTTGTCTAGGGGGGCTGAATAACCATCAAACTAAAAAAACTGTTTTCCAAGCTAACTTTCCGCGTTGCCGCCAATTTTGTCAAAGAAAAATGGGGATGCTTTGTTTACGAAGCTTGTTGGAAATATAAAAATCAAAGCGAAAAAGTATTAAATGGGCCAATGTCGGCTCTTACCTAGGTTGCAGTTGTAATGATTTTATAATTATAATATTATTCATCAGGATAAACTATTGTAATTGTTTTTAAATTTAAGAGTAATTCAAAATTACAACCAACTCTCAACTGTCTCTCTTGGTCGACAAACCTCTAAAATGGATTGTTGACAGCCATTCGACCAATCAACCCAGAGCCCCGATTACGGTAATTTTTAACGTCAACAATCCAGACACGCTTCTCGATTCTGCGATACGATTGGTCGTTCAACAGCGTACGTCAGCTGTTTTGACCAATCGTATCGCAGAATCAGAAACGCGTCTGGATTGTAGACGTTATAAAAGTTACCGTAATCGGGGCTCTGTCAACCGTCCAGTGGCCTCCATCATTTTGTAATAGTGACGTACAGGTACAGAGGTAATGAGGTAACAATTGATTGATAGTTCATATTTCGTACAATCGATTTGGGAATTTAGGATGTGTTGTTGACTGCTGCACATGCTGGTTAAATGAACTGTCGTACGTATCACGAGTATTTTGTGATTCTTACGTAAAACGGGTGATAAATGATTAAATAAATGACAGTCAAACTAATAATGGAATAAAATCCATGAGTAATCAAATTAATCGAATTCAATTGAACAGATAGATCTACATCCCTAGTTAGTCTGTGTTTGTTTTTTTTTCTCTTCCTGTCTGTTGTTTTTCGTCCGGCGGGGTATGTACCGGGTCTTTCCTGTGGGATTTTTTGAAAATTATGAATGTAGATGATCTTCAATCATCTTACTTCTTAATTTCGCCTGCCCACTTTAAGATATTTTAAATCTTTGCTCTATAAATGCTGTGTCTTGAAAAAGATACATAAATAACTAAAAAATTCAAAGCTTCACAATGGACGAAAAACTGAAGAAAATTTGTCCGAACTGCAGTCAGCTCTACAACTTACGATGTGAGTATCAGTGAAAATAAAATTTATTTTTTATTGTTATTAAAAACCACTAGCTTCCAAGATGCCAACAGCCTTTTTGTTTTGTTATCATGGATACCTACCTACGTACTTATTATTCCATGCCTACGTAACTAAAAATCAGGTCGGTTGTCCTATCCAATGTCAAATTAAAACTAGCCGAAACTTGTTGGGAATTCTCCTGTAATAATTCTAAATGCTATTAAGAAAGTGTTATCAGTTACACAATATTAATATTCTGAAGGTAGTTTGTTTAAAAACTCTTTATTTTGAAAACTCTTTTTAAAATATATGTACTTAGTTCAATACAGGCTTGGTCGATCACAGTCCAAGGGCTCCCCGGTTTAGGGTTCCGATACAAGGCACTGTCTAGCCTTCCGATAGATATGCCACGGCATAGTTTGTTCTTATTATTGTTTATTTTTCATAATATACATTTGTTTATCTACCTACCCACAATGGTTTTAAATTGTTTGTTGTTTACATATCCTGTGTGTTTGAGTGGTCATTCTTTATTTATAAGTCGCTACAGAATATTTTGATAAAGTTAATTTGATCAATTTATTGATAACAAAAACTTATCTTACAAAAAATATGAACTGTTGGCTAAAAACTCATTTATTTCAAAACAACAATTATAAGAAGATAAAATGTATTAAAAATAAATATGTCCACAATCCAACAGATACATAGTAGGTACAATGTGGTAAGGCCTATTATGGTAGGCTTTTGTTTATCGATAAGGATGAATCAACATTGCTGAAATCAATGTTCCTGGAAATTATAGCAGCCTCAAGGTTCCCAGCAAGTTTGTGGCAGTTGATAAATTAACTGTGTTATAAATATTTATCATACATATTGAATGTAGGGCTTAAAGTAAATATAATTGGTATAATTAGTTATCAGGTACTCTTAATTAATTATTGTATTGATATGGACTTTCATTAGCTACATCTGCATTATTTATAAGTTGTGTAATGGTCTATTTCATATTTTTAGCGCTGACTCCTGTGCTCAGGGGAAACATCCCACTTTTCCTAAAATGTGGGCATTCTATGTGCGAATCATGCATCAGGAATATTGTTAAATTTGCTGAACCCATAGAGTGCAAAGTATGCCACAATGATATGGAAGTCAAATCATCCGATGTGGCTTTGTCATCTTTGAACAAGTCGTTATTGTACCAAGTATTCCCAGTAAATGTATTTCTGCTGGGAGAACTCACTTTACAATTCATGGAGGTAAGCTGTTACCAAATAGGGATAACTTTGAATTTAAAACAATAAAAGTATTTCAAACTCTTTTATTTACATTCAGGATAACAGCCAGACGCAAAATGGAAAACACGAAGATTACTACATTGATTTACAAAAAATTATCCAAAGCGTTGACAGCACCAAAGGTATTATCTTGGTTTTCTTAAGTTCTTTTGATATAACGCTAATGACTATTCTCATTAATGACGTTTTAACAGGCAGTACCTACACACTGTAGATTCTGCAACTGCAGACGGAGCACTGGATAACTCGAGCAGTAGTTGTTAAATATCGTATTTATTTTTATAGCTTGTATTGCTTACCTGCTTGGTCCAAAGGATGACTAGGACCTCTAGCAATAATTTTTTTTAGCCGTTTGTTTTTGAATTGATAATGTTAGCAATATTATTTGAATAATTTTTGTGTTGTTTTGGTTTTTGTGTTGATGATATTTAAGTATTTATTAATATTATGATTATTTTTAGTTTTGATGTTATTTTGTTTACAGGCCAATGTTTGGAGTGCCATATTCCTACAACAAAAATGTGCAAACAATGTGCCACAATTTTATGTGATACATGTTTTAATAAAACACACAAAAACTTTGTTGTGTTTAAAAACCATGTCCTGACTAATATTGGTAAACTGAACTTAATAGTCTAATGCCCGTTTTCACCATCAATCCCTAATTTTTAAGTGACCCCCATGGTAACACACAACAGGAATTTTGTTTTCATAGGAGTCACTTAAAAATTAGGGATTAATGATGAACGGGCAAAATCAAATCATTGATTGATGTTTTATTAACAAATTGTATATTTCTTCTAGAAGAAGTAATGGAACCCAACCACTGCAAAGTACACAAAGATAAACCTCTTGACTATTACTGCAATGATTGTTCTAAATCCATTTGTATGGACTGCTTGATGGTCGGTGGTGAAAAGTCATGCAAGGACCATAATGTGGTGTCTATGCAGGAAGTAGTAAGTATTGTGTCAAAAAATCGTATTTAGATGTTTATTACTATATGCTCCTCTTTTTATATTTATACTTTAACACTTGAACTATATTGCAGAATGCAAAATTCTATGAAGATATAAACCAAATATCGCCTAAAGTCGACGAAACTTATAAGAGACTGACTAAAACAGCTGTAGTAAGTATAATTTTTTTACCTACTCAATGAAGATGTCATGCTTTTTTATTGATCTAATGAGCCTGATAGGTGGAGATCTTCAAAATGTCTGTTCATACTTCGTCATTTGTTTGGTTTTTCTATGAATTTTAATTCTTTGAAAGCTGTTACCTTTAATTCATCTTTACAGGACATTGGCAACATATTGCACAATATGGAAAACGACACAGGTGCTACTTGTGAGCTCACCAATATAATAGCAGATATAGAACAACACTTTTCTAAACTAACATCCAAAATTCAAAGTCACAAAAAAGAAGTGATAGATATAATACTTACATTGAAATCTGCTGAAAAGGACTCACTACGAAAAGCTAAAAATGATGTTTCTAATGCCTTAAAAAATGCGAAGAAAGTCTTAAACACTATTAATTGCTCGTCAGATCCTGAAAAGCAGAAACAGGTAAAAGCCAATTATATAAAAATACTAAAATGTATCTTAAGCTTGAGCATACTCATCTTCTTTTACATTATTTGGTTATTTCATATTACATTTCTGTTTCAGATTAATCTTTCAGTACTTTTGGAGAGTGCAAAGGAAATAATCAATGCACCATGGTATTTGAGCAAAGACGAAAATAGTAATGATCCTCTAAAGTAAGTAACTTAAATTACTTTAAATACTTAATCAAACCCACACAGTATGTTACGTCATGATTTAACTTTTTTATCCATTCAGGGTGGCAGTTAACGAAGACTTGTGTGCTTTGATAACGGATTACATACACCTAGAAGGAAATGTAAAGTCGGTGTATAAACTGCAGTCCACTTTGGAACTAGGGGCTGACGTAGAAATACCACCCGCTCCAACTGCACCGGTTTACCCACCTGAACTGCCAAAAGGTATGTTATTTTATAGTTGACTTACAATAAAATTATTTTTAATTTATGGGAAAGTTACTGTATGTTTTTTACCATTCCATGCCTTTTTTGAGCTGCTATTATAATTATTCTAGTTCAATGAAGTCCTAGCATCAATGCGACGGGTAATGATCTATTTATGTGATCAAATCTTTTGGGGAGGTGATATGTTTTACATTCTGTGGGCTTAAGATCCCACGCCTTACCCTCTGACTTTAACTTTTTTGTGTATTAATAGCCTTGGGAAGATATGCAACTTTTAAACCTAGTTATCATAACTGGTCTTTCTCCCCTTCTCATTTCGCATGTCTTTTATTCAGATGTGAGACAGCAAAAGAAAAAGAAGCCTGCTGATACAGAAGAGAACAGAAGCAATGCCACCCGAGATTATAAACCTGGGTTTTCCATGAACGCGCCTAAGTATCGCAGCAAGAGTGGTTCCGTGTCGTCACTCAACTCCTGTGACAGCGAATCCTCGTACAAAAGCTACATTACACGAAGTAAGATATTTTGTCTAAGTAAATGTTGCTCGTCTTACCAAAAACTGGTAGTAAATATAATAACAAATACCTATTTTTTATTTTTAGATGAGCCAAACAGACCGATCGTTCAACATGTTCAGCCATTTGAAGAAAGCCGTCACCCGAAACCGATATATGAAGGTAATTATAAATATTCTATTTTCCTTATCTCTAGGCAGTCTTCGAATTCTTTTGACTAAATTTGTACGTTTTTTGCATATTTCAGGCTCCCAGGAGTTAATCTACATAACGCATATAGTTGATCCACACAACTTCTTTGTGCAGCGTTCTTGCCATCAAAGGCTCGTAAAAGATATGATAAGAGAGTTCCGTAATGCAAACTCTATGCCGAAACCGTCTGTCAACCATATAACTGAAGGTATGTACCTAACCATTGTAATTGTACACTAGGGCTGGGCTGCACCATCTTACTTCGGCTTTAACAAACGTCAGTAATCTGTCAAAATCCATAAAAAACACCGGTTATCGTTATAGTTACTGTTAAAGTTAGGTAGTGCAACTCAGCTTAGGTCTCTCTTAAAATATTCGTTTTTCATTCAAAGCCCTTAGATACTCGCTTTTAATCCATGCTGATAAAAAATGTTTCGACAATTCAATTCAGTCAGATGCTAGGTAAAAGAAATAAAATCTAACGAATGAACATGAACAGCTACAAAATAATAACTAATCCTAAACAGTCGGTACAATATAAACAAAGGTGTAACAGTATATTATTATTCCTTCAGTTCATATTACATTTCGCGTAATCCTTAATCATCATAAACACACATGCCAATGTTACTCTAGTAATCAACGTCTATCGCACACAGGTAAAGTGTACCTCGTATTCAACAAGGCGGACAATATGTGGCAGAGATGCCGCGTCATGCGGATTGATCGCAAAAATCAAAGTCAGATACAAGTGCAAGTGTTTTGCTTCGACTTTGGCAGCATCGAATTTGTGGGGATTGACAAGTGAGTAGAATTTTGATCGACTTCAAAAAAAGGAGGAGGTTCTGAATACAGTAAACTTAGTAAGTTAATTGACTTCGACAATTTTATAAGCCAATAATATAATGATTATAATAGAGTCAAATTAAGATTACATCTTAGAACCCTAACATTATTTAGATTTAGATGAGGTTGCAAAAATTTTATCAGTAGATAACCATTGTTTGTAAACAACCTTCTTTTGTTATTCCTTACTCCAGCTACATACAGAGGGACTGTTATTCTGCTATGAACTACAAATTCCATTGTATTTTTTCTCGAGTAAGATGTTTAGTTTTCGCTATTGCGCTTAGTCAGCGTAAGGTATTATTCACTTAACTAACGTCCGTATTCACAAACATTACTATGAGGTCTCACAGTGTGCGTGCACAGGGTGACACAAGAACCAATCACAGAGCTCTATACAACGCTGTGCGTTCTACAGGGTGTTAGGTAAATGGGTATATGAGCCGACACTAGCCCATGTTAACATAGTCATATAAATGGTATGGTGAAGTCAGAAAATTGATATCTTCATTTTAATTATTTTTATTTTCATACAAATCGGATTTTATAAAATTTATTTTGTATGAAAATTAAAAAAAATTAAAATGATGATATCAATTTTCTGACTTCACCATACCATTTATATGACCATGTTAACATGGGCTAGTGTCGGCTCATATACCCATTTACCTAACACCCTGTATATGCAAGCATCGTTTGTGAATACGGGTATTTATTAAATGCTTAGGTTGCGTTTGCTGCCGCCGGCAAGGCTTCAAGATCCGAGCCCACTAGCTCTAAACTGCTCACTGGCAAACTGCGTACCTAAAACCGGAAGATGGACAAGCGACGACTCCATCCTTATCCAGAATATTATCGACAAGTAAGTAAATACTTGTAATTGTTTATTTGGCTCAAATTCCAAACCATAATCAATAACAAACATTCATCAAAGCGCAAGTTTGAGTGGGTTTTGATAAACATAATACACAAGTACAGCCGACAACGTGTAATCTATACTTACTAATATTATAAATGCGAAAGCAACTCTGTCAGTCTGTCTGTCTGTCTTGCTTTCACGCCTAAACCACTGAACCGATTTTGATGAAATTTGGCATAGAGATACGAGTCCCCNGAGTCCCCGGAAAGGACATAGGATAGTTTTATCCCAGTTTTTGAAACAGGGACGCGCACGATCACGATAAAGTTTTTCTGTGACAGACAAAATTCCACGCGGGCAAAGCCGCGGGCGGAAAGCTAGTTGTAAATAAAGTGTAATGACACTTGTTGCAAAATAGCCTGTAAGACAACGAGAAAAGAAGCCACTGTTAGCTTGATCTCCGTACATCAAAAGTTACATTAGAATTCATCTGCCCTGTAGTTTTGCGTGAAGCAGTAACAAACATCCATAAATCCACCCTAAACTTTTCAGCCGGGCTAGGATGCACGCAATGAAAATCTTATAGAGGTTTTTAGACGACAAATGTATGGGCTTATCGCGTAAAATCGATAAAATGGCGTGATAAACGCTTATCGCGGCGCGTATCCTAAGCCCTTTTGGTCTTAATTTTATTTAGAACAATATTGCGATTCCTATATTCCCTATCAATGTAATATTATGTAAATATAGCAGAATAAATAATAATGAAATCTTTTATTTTCCAAGTAAACAAGCGGTCATGCACGTCCGCCACATCCGCTCTAACGAGTGCATGGTGACGTACGAGTGTGACGTCACGACTTTCGAAGACAGCGTGAGCGTTGCGCACGCGCTGGTGTTCCACGACCGCGCCAAACTGATCAACCCGAGGCTGCCTGTGAGTATTAAATAAATATTTTTAGGTTTAAAATTCGTTGGTTTCAGCCAAATGACGTCCGCTGCCTGCCTTCCCCAAGGATTTCCATAATGACCGGTCCTACGCTGCCTGCATCCAGGCTCTTCCCGCGACCTTCACCAGATCGTCGGTCCACCTAGTGGGAGGCCTACCCATACTATGTCTTCCGGCCCGTGGTCGCCACTCGAGATCTTTGCTGCCCCAACGGCAGGTTTATAATTATTAACTACCAATAACTCTGCATTACCAATAACGATCTGATGAAGGTCGCGGGAACCGGTCGTTATGGAAATCCTTGGGGGAGGTTTTTGTCCAGCAGTGGACGTCATTTGGCTGAAACAAACGAACTCTGCATTTATTCACAGAAGATTTCAGCATTCCATACAACTGTTCTCTATTACTATGTACTGTCCAACTGGTTTGAATATTGTTTATTCAAAATAACTCATTAATGGGAATTCAGTTTAAATGGACATAGTGTAGTGTGTGACGGTGCTGGCGAAAAAATAACATGTGGGTAGAATTAAATAGTTCTACCCCACTTACTGATTGACTACTCGACACTCCAGTCAGCCAGTGACCACTGCCACCGCAAGTCGATCGAATCGTCAGACAAAAGAGTATTATTATTGCCTACCGCGTATCGCGTTTAATTCACGATGAAGAGTTATTTAAATAATGCAACAACGCATTATTATGTAATTGTTTTTTTATTAATTGTGTAGTAAAAAGTATACTTGACTAGAACTTTCGTTGATCATCTTTTCATAATTTGTTTTAGTATCCATCACCAACGAACATAATGGATAGGCCAAAAATATTCATGAGCAACAATGACTTCAAACCAAAGTCCATTGAGGAGGCGTACATTACACATATTGTTAGCCCAGATAAATTCTACGTAAGAAAGGTAAGTGGAAGAAATATTTTGATGATTTGACTCACAATTTAATAGTGAATTAATTTTGAATTACACCACATTTCAGCGTCATTTGCAAAGCATATATGAGAAGTTATGTGAAGATCTGGATCAAGAGTACAGTCTGGGCGTTAACAACGGCAGTATTTATCTACCTGAAATTGGTAAGTGAACTTTTAATCACAAATATTGTCATTGTGATACACAAACATTAAAAACTGAAACTTTTCTGTGGACATGTTTGGCTTGGTGCATCTAAAACGCAACTACCCCCGGTGTCACTGTGACACCGGAGTTTTGTTTTTTTTTTTTTTCAATAATGTTTTTTATTAGGCATGGTATGCGTCGTGAACACCGACAAGTATCGCGCGGAGCAACCGGAGCTGTCGTCTTGGGAGCGCGCCATCGTCATGGAGCTGCCTGGCCGCGGCCGCGCGCGTCTTCTGCTACCAGACTGCGGCGCGTCGCTGCTGGCGCACTGGGGCTCGCTGCGCCGCATCCACCGCCACTTCACCGCGGCCAAGGCGCTCGTGAGTACCGCCCACTGTGCAGGCGTCGAGACACTCTTGGGAGCGCGCCGCTGCTGGCGCACTGGGGCTCGCTGCGCCGCATCCACCGCCACTTCACCGCGGCCAAGGCGCTCGTGAGTACCGCCCACTGTGCAGCGTCAAGACGCTTCTTGGGAGCGCGCTCGTGATGAAGCTGCCTGGCCGCGGCCGCGCGCGTCTTCTGCTGCCAGACTGCGGCGCGTCGCTGCTGGCGCACTGGGGCTCGCTGCGCCGCATCCACCGCCACTTCACCGCGGCCAAGGCGCTCGTGAGTACCGCCCACTGTGCAGGCGTCGAGACACTCTTGGGAGCGCGTCGCTGCTGGCGCACTGGGGCTCGCTGCGCCGCATCCACCGCCACTTCACCGCGGCCAAGGCGCTCGTGAGTACCGCCCACTGTGCAGGCGTCGAGACACTCTTGGGAGCGCGTCGCTGCTGGCGCACTGGGGCTCGCTGCGCCGCATCCACCGCCACTTCACCGCGGCCAAGGCGCTCGTGAGTACCGCCCACTTTGCAGCGTCGAGATACCAGCCCTCGAACTTCCACGGGATAGGCAAGTAATATTTTCAGGTATTATAGATAATTATATCATGCATCAATATAAAGTAAGTCTAGCTGCCATTTTTCTAGGACAACAGAGAAAAAAATGTTTTCTGAAAATCATAAATTATTAAATAATTCCTAAATTACTGCAGCAATAACCATTTATTTTTACATAAAGGTAGACGTTATAGTGATAGGTAAATTTATTTACAAAATTCTGACTTAATGTAATTTTTTTAGAAAATATGCTTCTAAAACAGTTTTTTTTATAAAATCACAAAATCGAATATTTCTTCGAAACTAAACAAATACAACTACTAGTTCCTTCATCAATTGTATACATAATAGTAATATCTAACGATTGAATTAATAAAACAGGGATGTCCGCTTCTAAGCCAAAATAAAACACTGTGCAGCCCTAGACAAGTGACAAAAGTGACAGTCTAAAGACTTTAGCTCCGGTGTTTTGGAATTACATCGCTCCGTGAACGGTGTCGATTCGATCAAAAAGAGTGCCACTTGTCTGGTCATTCATCAATTTGAATTGATGCCACGCCTCTTTGTTCTTTGAGGAAGAAAAGAAACGACTACTGCGTACTTACTGCCTTGTCATGGTTCTAACTAAACTACGCAGTGCCAGCAATCTGACAAAACGCCTGCAATAGGAGCTCTAGCACGTTCTATTGCGTAGCTTTGAAGCTACTAGGTAGCGGTCTTCAAAAGGTTCAATTTCAGCGTAATCGTTCCGATCGACGACTGTATGTTGTCCATGCTCTGACGTCAACGTGTAACAGAGATCACAACTATGGCGTTTATTAGAGACCACAGCCTTACACCGCACATCCAGTCTCTTATAGTGAACATATCAAGACAAAAGTCAATATTGAATTCCAGGCCACGGAATGCTACCTAGCGGGCGTGACTCCTCTCAACAAGAAGTGGAGCACCGGCTCTGTGGCGCTCCTGCGCAAGTATCAAGAGCGCTTGTTGGAACTACACGTGGATGACACCCGCGCCCGCGCCGTGGGCGTTACGCTATACGACAAGACTGACGTCGAAGACGTGATCTGTATCAACAATGAGATGATCAAGCACAAGTTTGCTGTCACGTTCGGGTATGTGTTAGAATTGAGCGTATTTTGACTGGCTATAATACTGAATTGAAGGAGTGAGTGGACAAAGGTCTTAACTAACAAAATGAGTTATGAGTGTTTGAAAATGTTAATCTGCTCATACCACATTTGAATCCTGAAATGTATGAATGCATGTCAGATAACACCTTTCTTAAGGTTTGACACGTTACAAAATTGCGTGTTTTGAGCTCATTAGTCGATTTTATCATCACTTGAAACCTATGTTCATGCAAAAAAGCCGATTCTTCAGTTTTGTCAGATAACACCTTTGTCCACTCACCCCTTCAATTCGAAACTTTTCGTAAACGGTATGTTTGATTTTGAAAACACAATTTAGTTTGTCCCAATTATTCGCAAAATGCTTAGTTCTCAAAACACCAACCGATTCTCAGCAAGGCTAATTCGCAAAGTAACAAATTCTTAAAAGAATCATTTGTATTATTAATTTCTTTCACGTATTGACTCAAAAATAACTTATTTCAGATTATTCAAGTTCAACAAAAATGACGCCCAAGATCAAGTCATTACAAACAAGTCTCCTCTTGACCCACCGAAACAATACCGAAAACCAAAACCTGAAGTGACCATCCTGAAAAAACAAAGTTCTCCTAAAAAGAAAATAAAAGAACAAGATTTGGAAGCAAAAGATAAGGGTCCGCTCCGGCTGGAAGCCAAACTTCTGCATTACCAATCCCCGTCGTTGCTATACATCTCGCTGCTCCATCAGAACAAATTGTTCCACGATTTGTATGAAAAAATACAAAANGATACCAGCCCTAGGGCTGTGACAAAACGTGACAGTCGAAAGACTTTAGCTCCCGTGTTTTGGAATTACATCGCTCCGTGAACGGTGTCGATTCGATCAAAAAGAGTGCCACTTGTCTGGTCATTCATCAATTTGAATTGATGCCACGCTTCTTTGTTCTTCGAGGAAGAAAAGAAGCGACTACTGCGTACTTACTGCCTTTGTCATGGTTCCAAATTACGCAGTGCCAGCAATCTGGCAAAGCGCCTGAAATAGGAGCTATAGCACGTTCTATTGCGCAACTTTGATGCTAGGTTACAGTCTCCTAGTAGCGGCGTAGTACTAGTACCCGCCCCAGGTGCCAAGCATCAGGGGGTGACACAAGTCGTGCAGATTAGTACTCACTGGCGCATCTGCATGGCAAATCTGCGGTCTATGTCAACCGGGTGCCAACCCATGCTACGCCGCCACTGCAGTCTCCTATTAAAAGGTGAACGCGCTGTTCGATTTCAGCGTAATCGTTCCATTCTACGTCTGTATATTGTCTATGCTCTGACGTCAGCGTGTAACAAGAGATCACAACTACACGTGACGAACTGATGGCGTTTATAACATACAGCCTTACACCACACATCCATAGTCTTATAGTGAACTTTCAAGACAAAAGTCAATATTGAATTCCAGGCCACGGAATGCTACCTAGCGGGCGTGACTCCTCTCAACAAGAAGTGGAGCACCGGCTCTGTGGCGCTCCTGCGCAAGTACCAAGAGCGCTTGTTGGAGCTACACGTGGACGACACCCGCGCCCGCGCCGTGGGCGTCACGCTATACGACAAGACTGACGTCGAAGACGTCATCTGTATCAACAATGAGATGATCAAGCACAAGTTTGCTGTCACGTTCGGGTATGTGTTGAATTGAGCGTATTTTGACTGGCTATAATACTGAATTGAAGGAGTGAGTGGACAAAGGTCTTAACTAACAAAATGAGTTATGAGTGTTTGAAAATGTTAATCTGCTCATATCACATTTGAATCCTGAAATGTATGAATGCTTGTCAGATAACACCTTTCTTAAGGTTTGACACGTTACAAAATTGCGTGTTTTGAGCTCATTAGTCGATTTTATCATCACTTGAAACCTATGTTCATGCAAAAAAGCCGATTCTTCAGTTTTGTCAGATAACACCTTTGTCCACTCACCCCTTCAATTCGAAACTTTTCGTAAACAGTATGTTTGATTTTGAGAACACAATTTAGTTTATCCCAATTATTCGCAAAATGCTTAGTTCTCAAAACACCAACCGATTCTCAGCAAGGCTAATTCGCAAAGTAACAAATTCTTAAAAGAATCATTTGTATTATTAATTTCTTTCACGTATTGACTCAAAAATAACTTATTTCAGATTATTCAAGTTCAACAAAAATGACGCCCAAGATCAAGTCATTACAAACAAGTCTCCTCTTGACCCACCGAAACAATACCGAAAACCAAAACCTGAAGTGACCATCCTGAAAAAACAAAGTTCTCCTAAAAAGAAAATAAAAGAACAAGATTTGGAAGCAAAAGATAAGGGTCCGCTCCGGCTGGAAGCCAAACTTCTGCATTACCAATCCCCGTCGTTGCTATACATCTCGCTGCTCCATCAGAACAAATTGTTCCACGATTTGTATGAAAAAATACAAAAGTACTATACGACGACGAAAACTCAGGGCAAAAGCGAATGGGCGGTCGGTGACAGATGCTGCACGATTTGTGCTCAATCGCAGACGTGGCGGCGCGCCGTCATAGTCGAATTTGAAAAGGACAATGCGAAGATATTTTACTCGGATTTCGCGTGTATTGAGACGGTGCCGACCGCCAGCTTGAAGGAGCTGCCGAATGAATTCGCGGCGGTAGGCGACGCCGCTATCAAATGCCACCTGTGCGGCGTCATCCCAGCAGTCGGCGACGAGTGGCCGTCTCTCACGAAGGAGTACCTCAAGGAACTCCTAGATGCCTACAAGAGAATATTCATCACCAAATTAGGCTCATTCAAAAACAAAAGCATGCCCATCGAAATCTGGGTGTATCACACCACTCAAGGCGGCGCTTTGGAGCCTAATAAATCCGAATGGCGGTGTTTGAACAAGAAAATCATTGAACAGGGTTTGGGGATACCAGATAAAGTTCAGGAGGTAAAGTTTTTGATCAATATTTTCATTAGATATATTGAAATAAATGCTTTATTGGAAATATACTTTTAATAACATATTTTATTTTACAGGTCACTTCTCCTGAGAATCTAGGCAGTGATGATGAAATGTTATCATTTCTAAATATAACAGGATCAGTAAATGAATGGCTTCAGTTGGAATCCATGCCCATAAAACCACTTCTAAAAGATGACAGTGAGTCTGTAAGCGATACCCCCTCACCAAATGTACTTGATGAGGTTACTGATGAAATGAATGAATTCTTGAAGAATGCAGACACGGTGTTCATTTCTGATTGGCTGCCAGCAGAAAAACTGCCTAACAAAGAGTTCACAGGAATGCCTACGTAAGTTTGTCTACTGTTATTATAAGAGTTGTATTTTCGGGTTTGATCCCCGATATCGATTTGGGTGTTTTCTGTGTATAAGACGTATAAATAAAAAAAAAAGTATAAAGTATATTTCCATTATTATCTGATTGGTTACCTAATTACCCATTGTACAAGCTCTGTTTAGTTTGGGACTGTATGACGCATTGTATAATGTCCAAGAATATGTATTTATTATTGTTAAAGCCTACATGTAGATTTACTTTTGAAAGTACCTGGTATTTATTATTATTATTGGTTTTTGGGCCTTTATTTGCGCCAACTCGACCAGGTTTGATCTATTGTGGCAGCCCTTGTCTTTAGAGTTCACTGCTTAGTCCCGTTGAGTCTATAAATAGTAGAAAGTACCTGGTAACATTTAGAACTCCCAATTTTTATTTACAGGTACATAGACAATGACGGAGTAATATACCTCCACGATGTGTGTCAGCAAGATACCCTGGATTTGATTCGTAAAGCATTAGACATTCGTTTCAAGAACCCCGACCCTAGAGCTAAATTTGTCAAGTGGTCCGTTGGTGAGCCATGCGTCGCATTATACTATCTAGATAAACGTTTTTACAGAGGACGAATTCTCGAGGTCTGTGATGACATATCCAGTTGTGTTGTGCAGTATATCGATTATGGTAATGAAGAAACTTGTTCTTATGAGGATTTACGCAAGAGCATTGCGCTGTACCAAATACCTATACAAGCCCACAAATGTGTCTTGAGCCGGATCAAACCAGTGGACGACCACTGGAACAGACAAATTTTAGACTATATTCACAAATTTATGGTCGAAAAGAAATGCCTTATTAAAGTATCCGGTGAAACTGACGGCGATGTGACACCAATAGAACTGAAATATGATAAGTTGTGGCTAAACGACCACTTGGTGGAATTTGAAATGGCTGTATACACTGACGGTAGTAAGGCTTGTGTACGAAAGTACGCGCCTCCAACCGTTGATAAACTCGCTGAAGAAGCAATCGAATCTGATTCTGGCCCTGATTATATTGTTGAGGAATCGACTGAAACGGGCCCGATGTCGACATCGGCAGATTCCATCGATGTGAGAGCTATGCGAGGGAAAGACTGGAATAAATTGCTCGATGATGACGACGACGAAGATGAAATAGAAGAAAAATTTACAACATACCCGAAATTCGATAAAACTGAATTTCTGTGCAACGTTACTATTATTAACGATACCAAAACAATGGAACTTAATATTATCCACGACGATGAAACTAATCTAATATATGAAGAGATGTTCCGTAAATTGCAAGAGCAAGGTGAAAATATGAGTCCGTTGAACGGCATATTTGAAAATAAAGCTTGCGTTGCTCTGTTCCATGAAGATGCCCAGTGGTATAGGGCGTCCATCTTACAACACAGTGAAGAGAAAAACCTAATCAAAGTTCGTTATGTGGATTACGGAAATATTGAAATAATTTCTTTAGCTGATGCTAGAGAAATAACAGATGATTTTTCTCACCTTCCGCCCGCTTCTATACAAGTAAAGATACATGGTGTTGAACTTAATCAAGACTTAGAAATAGATTTGATATCAAAGGAGTTCGCCAGTACATTTTTAGAAAAAGGCCCTTTCACTGCTAAAGTGATCAACTACATTGATCCATACCCAATTGTTGAACTAAGAAATGACGCCAATGAATTGGTATACGAAAGCCTTATCAGTAAAGGCGTTTTTCTAAAGTCTGATATTGTTAATTCAGACGCCTAAGTGTTGTCTCAAATGTTTTCAAAATATTTTTTCTTTTATAAGTAACTATGTTAAGTTTGATTATAGTAGACGTTACGTAGTCAATACTCGTCTCGTTATGCGGGTCTTATTCAAATAAGCTTATATTAATGGTATAAACATTAAAAAAACGAATCTATTCATTGGTTTTCTTTACTACGCATAGATTTCTTATAAATTCAATCATACTAATCGAAGCAAATTAATGTTTCTTGGGGCAAATGGCTACAAATCGTACTGGTGCTCCAGTTCCCTGTCTTATTTTCATTGGCAATACTATGGCAGTGCAACCATATTCTGAAAAAGAATAAAATAAAGATTATTTAGAATTTCAGACAGTAAAAACTAATTTACATATAAATACATGTTTAAGATAATTAAATTAACTTTTTCTTTAAGACTATTCTATATGTATATATGTGAGATCTATGTCTATATGTAAGAACTTTTATATACCAACATTGGAGCAATAAAGAATTTGAATTTAAGACCCCTGAAATGTTGCCCTAATCTTTTACACATTACAGATGTTAAGTGGTAGAATATTATCAGCTCAGCAGTCTTAACACAAATTATTTTTAGCCAAGTAACAAGTGAAGTCGAATTAACAACGAAGGTTACTCCTTTTTTCATAGTCGGTTATAAATACTTACCGGGTATATCCCTACTTAGATTGACATTTTCAATGTTGTACAACCCAGCACTAGAAGCTACTTTGTGTACTGGATAATCTTGGCTTGAGCCAGGGTCTACTGAAGCGACATCTACACCGATGCCAACAACCTTCTTATATGAGGTCGTTATCCACGTTGCTATTTCCTCACTCAAACCTGTAATAAAAAATATATTTAGAGCTTAACTAAGCGAGTGCCACGCTTGAACTATCTTTTTCGATAGTTTGCACACCCATCGAAATTACCGAAATTATAGGTCGCGCAAAGAGAGTTGAGACAACCGCCACAACACAAGCAAATATTTGTATTACTACGTTGAAATCGCAGTCGGACTGACAAGTGCTTTCTGTCTCACTTACACTCATTTAGCAAGAGTGAGGCAGCTAGTGTATTCGAAATTTGAACTTGAATGTGTTGTGTGTGACAGAGTAAACTAAGAGCTAGTCTGGCTGTTGTTAAAAATCAGATTTTATGGTATAACGTAAGTCTAACTATTACGGTGACTTTTTCTGTATATTCAATAGACTGTAATTCTTCTACTATCGTTATACTATAAATGTATAATATTTGGGCAATAATTAGAAGTATTTTCCCCAACAGCCAGACAGTTTTGACAGTTCAGGCAGTTTTTTAGGGTAGCTCCCAAAGCCACCATGACCCTTGGGAGCATACGCTGACAAACTTTCAGCTTTTATAAAATGACGTAGTTCTGGCGTTCACTTAGCTCTTAGTCTAGAGGTGTGTATTCAAATAAGCCATTTTATTCATCAGTTTGACTAATGTGTTCGTCTCAACTTTCGCTGCGCGACCTATTTATTTTTATTAGCTGTTCCACACAATTGAATTGGAATTTGATGTTGAATAATAGTAGGTACAATTTTCCATGCAAGGAAATGTGAGATAGTGATGTATTTATTGTTATGTGTACCTTACCCGGAAAATTCAGTTTTCCATTGTCAGTCATCCCAAGGTATTTCTGTTTATCATTGTAAAATTTACTCCATCCGAATTTGAAAATGATTATACATTTTTGTTCTGCATTGAGCATATAATCCAAATGTATTTTGTATAGAACAAAATTTGGATCGTCATTTACCCGACTGCTTATATCGACTATAATCACTGAAAATAACAAACTAAAATTGTAATTACCCACGTAATTAAATTTTTAAAATTAACTTGTAATCGCCCGGCAAGCGAAGGGTCATTGGTTCGATTCCCTACCATAGGCATTAGGATTTTTTTCAAGTTATTAAAAAAAAATTAGATGCGACAACCCAATTTTCATTCAGTTCGATGGTGGTAACAACATAACGTTAAAAACGCAATAAAACGTTAATGATTTTTTATAATATTAAGCATTATTACAACAGCTGTATTTTGTATGCCTATTGAGTTGAGTTATCTTGGTAAAGACCAATCCTTATAGCCAGAGTCGAATTTTATGTAGGTAGTAACGTTTTTATTTTAATATGAAAATACAAATATTAAGTAGGTATTACAATATTTACAATACATTTAAGCGTCATCGTCGCTGTATACCTACCTACTATAAATTACTTACGTATACTAAGACTTGTCGTAATCTTAATTCAGGCGTCTTTTATTTTTAATGGTAAAAAGTAAAAATACTTACACGGAACGATAAGCGAATCTAATGGCAGTTCACCGGCGCGCAGTCCTTGTCTATAAAAATGATAAGGGGCGTCCAAATGCGTGCCTCCATGCTCTCCGGCAGCAAATTCGTTTGCAGCATACCTAGAAATATACGAATTTAATTCGGTAATGCTTACCTCAATGCGATGATGTAAAGCAGCGTTTTTCAACCTTTTCCATGACCATAGCTGGGCATTAACTCGTTAATCCGTTAATCGTTAATTAACGAAGTTAACATTTCTATTAACGGATTAACTTTTAAGTTAACTTTGAAAAATGTTAACGGATACGTTAACTTCCGTTAAATTATCCTAAGTCCGTTAATCGTTAATCCAGTACCAATTATTTTCCAAAAAGATACAGAGCAGGCACGCTGAAAAACGCTAGAAAAACGCGTTCTGACAAGTACGTTCGGGTTTCCAGAACTTCCAGAACCCAAAATAACAGTTTTTGTAACCAGATCACTAACGACACTTGTTAGTATGTGTGGGACAACTCTTGCAACTGAATTTAAGACCAGTTTTCTTGAACCGATTGAGAAATTTGGTATACTTATGTAAGTACGATGACAATGCAATGTTATGGTACCATTGAGCTGGTCTGATGATGGAGTCATGTCTTGGCCATAGGAACTCCTTAATGAAACGGCGGCATCGCATCGAATTTGGGTTCGTTGGATTTGTGTTTTCGAGCACTTTAGTACTAGATGATGTCCAGGGTCCTGATGATGGAGTCAGGAGGTGGCCATAGGAATTCCTAAACGAAACGGTTGAAACTAATCGAGTTTGGGTTTGCTGGATTTGTCTTTTCGAGCACTTTGGTGCTAACTAAATTGTATTGTAATTGAACCAAGGCTCTGAAATTGAGATACTACTAAAAAGTGAATAAAATTATAATAATTAAAAAACTTTTTTAAAAACAAGTTTTTATTCTGAAATGCAGTTGTACTAAAACGAAAAAAATAATTGTACTTATGCATGGTTCAAATAATTTCGATTAAGCTTGTAGCGCAAACATAAAAGAGGAATAAATTCCATGCGCGATACATGATTAACGATTAACGTTAAATTGCGTTAAATCTTGCGAAATGTAACGTTTTAACGTTTAACGAAGTTAATTTTTTTATTAACGGTTTAACGATTAACGAAGTTAACTATTTGATTAACGGTGCCCAGCTATGTCCATGACACGACCCCCGCTTTTTTTCATGCATTTTATAAAGATACAAGGATGTTGTAACCCCTAGTAAGGGGTCGCTCGCGACCCACAAGTTGAAAAACACTGATGTAAAGAATTTTAAAATAACAATGTGTTACTGTGGTGTTACTCCAAAGACTAGTATTATATTATCTGTGCTCCAAAGTATCAAAACCTTATTTCATTGTCTTTTAGTCCCGGTTGCCTGAACGAGATCGCTTGATAGCGATTAGGCCACTTATCGAAATTATGCATTTTATATTTTCTGTTTCTTTTTTTTTTGTATCAGTAAAAAAAGTTACCTACCTACCTACTTAGGTAAGTATAAAATATTCAATAAAGCAAGCCTACATTGTATCTCCTATTCTTATATTTTTTTTTATTTCTAGTACCTATTCTAATTTGGCTAGGTACATATTTGTAGCTACTAATTAGCTAGTTAGTGTCCGTGACTCCCACTCGGCATGGGGCACACTATAAACCAGCGTCGTGGGCCTTCCTCACCGTGGGCCACGGTCATTTATGCTAAGGTCCCATTGCGATGTACATAGCAATAATTGTTTTCTTTCTTTCTTTCTTAATTGTAATATTATTTACGTAGGTAGGTTGCTAGTCCACATTGTAAATAAGTTAACTGTGTTATTCCGGGACCTCTAGATAAGTTATCGCTGAACGATGCATTTATTGTTGTGCAACAATATTAGTTATTAGGTACTAGCTTTCCGCCCGCGGCTTCTCCCGCGTGGAATTTTGTCTGTCACAGAAAAACTTTATCGCGCGCGTGCCTGTTTCAAAAACCGGGATACAAACTACAAATCCTATGTCCTTTTCCGGGACTCAAACTATCTCTAAGTATGCCTTTCAACAAAATCGGTTCAGTGGTTTAGGCGTGAAGGCAAGACAGACAGACGAGAGTTACTTTCGCATTTATAATATTAGTATAGATTACTTGTGTGTATTAGTGCATATTAGAAAAGACAATTAATCTATGTCCATACCATGATCCGTCGGGTTCCAAGTTTGCTATCTTCCGAGTGAACACAAAATTTTGAACCCCAGGCCAGTAAATAGTTTGATTATCAAACGGATGTGTCAGATCAATAAATTCGAAATCGCCGCTGAATATAATTTCGTTTAGAGCATTGCGATTCTCCGCTGTGGCTGTCAGGCAAACCGCGAACAATACGAGCGCTGTTAAAGACATCTCGGATGGGACTGCTAGCACTACTGCGCCGATCGGTTTATCAAACTCAGAAATTAACGTCCTTCCTTGTTAGTGAAATGATACACTAACAGACTGTCCTACCCACTTTATACGGGGTTATCAAGAGAGAACCACGGGTTTTTACTTTTCGTTGATAAAAATTTAGCTTAGGTGTTTTTTATTGTAGATATTAACTTTTTCACATAGGAATAGTGTAATTTTGAGATTTTATTATTCTACTCAATCAGAAGTGTAGATAAACTATCATTTTATCTCATCAACATTTTTATCATCAAACCACGCTACTTATTACTTCACAGCTTCACAGATAAAGATAATGGACTATACTTAAGTATTTATTTACCTAGGAGACTACACGGCACAAAAATACTGTGTGCCATCCTTTTTGTATTTTTTTTCCAATTAAATGATACTCTGCGGCTGTTCATGTAAAATTCCTACATACAGTAATATTAAGGATTAAATACAGGGTGGCCCTTGAAATCATAGCTTGAAATGGTTCAAATAGAGACATCTCTTACTTACTTAAATGGATGGCTCTTATAGGTAGGGGCTTATTAATAAAATAAACCATTTAAAATCATGAGAAATTATGGTAATTTTGGGATCAGTCCTTCATTCCTGGAGATCAAATTATTATTGTAAGCTCTTTCTGTAAGTAAGTATCGGAAATCCAGGTACATTGAAGTTACGAAGTTAGGTACAGGTACAGGTTAATATTTGTAAGTTACCTGAAGTTTTATTATTAAATAGCCTGTTTTGCTCATCAATTATTTTACCATCCTGGTGGTCAACATATAGATCGAATTATTATGAGTGAGTTCGCCAAACTTGTACTGCGACAGGTTAGAAGAAAGAGAAAGACTTTTTTTATTTAGTCCAAAATTTAAGGGGTTTTTGTGTAAAAATGAATGACGAAAGGATGAAATAAAAAAAACATAACCCTCCTTCTGGCACAGTCGGGTAATGAAGATTTGGCTGTATGGCAAAATGCCTTTGCCATATCCTGCAAAAGGAACTATAAAAATATGAACTGTCAGTGTCAACTGTCAAATTTATTTAGCAAAAGCAAAAATATTTTTTGCAATATTTTTCTGAGGGACAAGAAAAGGTAAAAAAGTGAGATCCAATATAATAAAACTATTGATTTCTTCAAATCAATGTCTTTGATAAAAAAGACTCGAAATGATGCAGTCAAAGCTGCAGTTACTTCATACCTTGAACGTCGAAATTACCCGGTAAGTATTTTTTTACATCTGCATTTTATTGTTTACTTTTCGCTCTTTTATAAAATTATCTGATTTTTAGGACCTCGATTTGTTTAGTAGCAATAATTCATTGAATAGAAGCGCTGAACAAATGGCAGTCGCCACAATAGTACAGTGTGAATCCAGCAGAGCAAATTCCATCTTGTTCTCTTGCATCAATAGTGATCCTGGCCAGTATGATGTTCAGTACACAAAGTGAGTTATTTAATATTTTATACTTAATATGTCAGTTATTATTTCATTTCATTAATATTGGGCATTGTTTCAACAGTGTGTTATTTTTGTTCACACACATTATTTTTATTTCTTAGAAAAAAAGTGCAGAACATTTAAACTACCTTAGCATTTGTATATTGTATTGTTTATTTTATGCTTTATCTGTTTACAGATTAGTAAACTTCATCAAAGAGATAAATGTGGAGAAAGTTAAAAATGAATTACTTGGCTTACTATGTCCGTTGCTCTGCCATCTCTACCTTGAGATGCTGAGGGGAGGCCATGGTGGTCAAGCTCAAATGTTTCTCAAAAGGCACTCAGCCACATTGCCCCAAAAAGACCTCTCCTACCATCAACCAATAGATGGCAACCTTCCCTCTGCTTTATACCGGCCCAACAGTTTAGAACAACTGTTCAATTCGTTGCAAAATGGCACAATTGATAATGAAACTCCTGAGAAAGATTTCATGAATCAAATACTCGATGATATTGGTTCTATTTACACATTACAAGAAGTAGAAACAAGGCCTTCTATTGCTGCATTTAGGTATGTATTGTTTTTTTTTTATTATTTGACGAGGCAAACGAGCAGACGGATCGGACGGAATACGAATGTAGTATTTAAATGTCAGATTGTCCTAAGAAATCTGTTCAACTGAATTTTCATAATTGTACACCTATTTCAGATCATGCAAATACGATATTTACCTGTCTCAAGATGCTCTCAACATGCTCAAAAGCTATTTGGCCAAGCAAGGGCATGTCTTATTGATACAAGTACTGCAGACTTGGTTTCACATTGATATAAATAGTGACACCAATAAAAAGAATTCAGTAAGTAACTAATAAACTTGTCAACAATATTTTTTATTTTATTTTGTTTGGTATTGTAAAGTAATATAATTTACAGGATGATGAAGATCAAATGGAAGAAGAAATAAATGCCACAAGAATGAATACAGAAGAGAAAGTTCCTGATGTAAATGGTAATCCATTAATTTTCTCATAAACAGCTGAAAACCTTATACTCCCTTGTTATATCTCCCTAATTGCCCTAAAAACTTTATTGTTTACTTTGTGCCAATAATATTCATTTAATGAAATAGCCACTTAAAAATGTGTTTTTGTTGCAGACATATTCTCAAAATGTAATGGCCACACAGAATACCCAATTGTTGATAAAGAATTAAGAGAATTGCAAGATGCTATAAGGGGGGTAAGAGAGTCCATGGCGCCACTTAAACTTTATAAAGTAGCTGCACCTGATTCTCAGTAAGTCATAAAACATTTTTATGCAAATTCTCAACTTTGAATTATTTAACTTTACTTTATACATACTTGTGTTTTCTCCCCAGCTTAATATGTGCTACGACAGATCTGAACTGCAATTTGCTATGTGGTGGCTTTAGCAACTCAGAAATTAGGATATGGGACCTTGGACAAAATAATGTGAAGCGCATAGTGAACCGCAATATATCAGAGTTTGAATTAGCCTGTTTTGTTCCACCTGAACCTACACCTGAGGATAACACTTTGTAAGTGAAATATTCCTTAAGGCCCTCGCCCACGGTGACATTTTGTAGTGACAGCATCGCTACTAACGCGCGTTTGTCGCATTTGCAACGCACTACAGCACACGGCACACAGCTAGCGACCGCATCGCGACTACAGAAACGCTACAAAAAGTTGCCGTGGGCGAGGGGCCTTATTATCATAAAATATAATTTTCAAAAAGAAATATTTGTCTCCTTTCAATTTCCACCCGGTTTCCACCAAGGCAGAGCGGAGTGAAGAAGTGTTGAATAACCAATCAGATTTCATTATTTTCACTTATCCGCACTTTTCTGTTACAGACAAGTGAACACAGGGCAGCCTCTTAGAGGTCACACGGGTCCCATCCAAGCGGTGAAGGTGCTAGCTCAGGAGCAATTGATCCTGTCTGTCTCGCATGATAACACGATGAGAGCGTGGCGACTTTTCGACTACTCTTGCGCATCTGTTTACAGGTACCCTTAAATACTACTAATTATGTTACAGAGCAGTTCTAATAAACCAAAATAATATATTTTTTGCAACCTTATGTTTCTGTTTATGGAATACCTACTTCATTCTATTCCATTGCAGGGGCCACAACTATCCAATTTGGTGCATGGATATTGCAGAAAATTCACCATTCATAGTAACAGGATCTCACGACAGAACTGCGAAGCTTTGGTCCCTAGATAGAACATTCCCAGTCAGGGTATTTGTGGGGCACAATTCCGATGTCACGGTAAGTTTAAATTCGAAGTAACTGGCCAGTAATTTATAAGACTATTGCGCGGTCGAGTTAACTGCGTACCCGGCGCCGTGACGTGACATCGACGCTCAAGTACGAACGCGGCGAACAAGGGAGATGTGGTGAGTGTGAGGGAGAGTCGCATTTCAGCGAGGTTCGCAGTATCTCGACCGGGTTGTGCTAATATCTTTAGAATTATTTTTACCGTACTCGTTTTGTGTTTAAATATTTCAGCTACTCTAATATCATTTGCAGGCCGTAAAGTTCCACCCAAATGAGGCGTACATAGCGACAGGTGGGGCAGACCGCTCCGTGCGTCTATGGACCGTGTGCGACGCGCGTCTAGTGCGGGTGTTATGGGGACACCGTGGCGTGGTGCGAGCGCTCGCATTCGCACCGTCTGGCGACTACCTCGCCAGCGCTGGTCAGTATCGCTATCGCCACTCATAAGTAACGCCGCCCACTGGCCAGTATTTGCTACACACATAAGCGGTCCAGCAGCAGCACTAATCAACCTTCCGAATCTAAAGCCTCGCATGTCGCATCAACTTGAGCAGCCTCTTTTTGAGACAGACTGAGGGTGTCAAAGGCTTCTAAGTACACCCAATTTTGCATAACTTTTATTGTTCCATGCATTATACCTAAAGCCTGGTCCGTGAGCACGTAGAATTTTGTCCAATGACCCCAAGCTACCCATCCTTACCGCTCGCGCGTAATTATATTGCTGTCGCGACTGTGTGACGGGCGCCCGCAGTGAGTGTGCGAGCGCGACAGCAACATAATTACGCGCGAGCGATAAGGATGGGTAGCTTGGGGTCATTGGACAAAATTCTACGTGCTCACGGACCAGGCTTTAATAAAATTAAAAACTGTGCAATTTTTCTAAAATGCTTCATATTTGTTATAGGTGATGATAAGAAAATAAAGATATGGGATTTAGGAACTTGCACCAGTGTGCATGAACACAGGGGACACCATGGAAAGATCACTGCCCTCGACTGGTCAGCTGTGGGGAAAGCCAGTCTTACAAACAGAGTCCAGTCTGATCCAAGTGATTTGTCCATAGAGAATTCACTTCTCTGCTCTGCTGGAATGGATGGAGTAGTCAAAGTTCTATGGGACAATCATCCTAAAAACAAGTAAGTAAAAATAATAATTGTTATTACTATTTATTGTTTTAAAAAACCAATATATCATGATGATGCAGGTTTGCTTCTACACCACTCAAATTAATTTTATCTGACAGTGTGTTGAGATGTGATCTCTGCTCACAAGTAGTACAAACATACTTCTTAGGCCCAGAACAGACGGTGAAACGCAACTGCAACGAAACTGCAACTTTCTGATGATTCAAACTGAAACTAAAATTTTCAAACTGGTCGCGTCATGTGTGGTCTCTTAACGGACGCTATGGCAGAAACTTAGATGCAACTCAAAAGTAACTAGCAGTTGCAGTTTCGTTGCAGTTGCGTTTCACCGTCTGTTCTGGGCCTTAGTCACTTGTAAATTTCCTTTACATCATTGTGTACAATGTGACTTGTATTTGGAAATATGTTTTGTATCTGTAACTTAGTTACATTTTTAGAACTAATTATTCTAATTTATTAATTTTATTTATTTGTCTACAGACAAGTATCCAGCCAAGATGTGCAGTCTGCAACTTACAACACAAAATGCTCATATCTGGTAGATGTACAAGTCCATCCTGACTGGGTGGTCGCGATTGGAACAAAAAGATAAACATACTGTCACAACTTTAATATGTATTAAAATAAGTTCAATATTTACATGCTCTTTTATTTTCAACAATTATGACAAAAAACAATTAGTGTCCTTCCTAAACATCCCTGTATAAAGTTATGTATTACATTTGTTTCAAAAAGTAAAACTCCTAATCATGTTCAAAATAACTTAATTGTTCTATCTCCAGGAAACTAATAAAAAATTACTCATGATTTTATTTCAAGTGACATTCAATAGTAGTTTTTCTAGCTACAAATTATTACATAGATCTATTTTATCAAGTATCTATCTCATCATGTAATAAAAATATTTTGTAGGACTGTTACAATAAACATGTAAATGAAAATTATTTCTGAGGTACTTTTTTGAAGAAACTCATTAGTGTAGCTTGTTTCCCTTTTTGAGGTGAAGCTATCTTCTTTTTGGTATTTTTGGTAGCATTTTTCTTTTCTGGGGGTGAAACTTCTTTCTTCACCTTATTTATGTGTTGGACATTTTCTTTAATACTAGCTTCTTCCTCATTTTCAGAACAACTTTCATAGATTTCCTCCTTCTTAGTTAAAATGTAACCATCCTCATCAGTGTAGGTTTTATCCACAATCTTTCTTTTTTTCTTGGGGTTGACTATTCCTGAAGTTATTTTGACTGTGTTAACTAATGGAGTTGGTGGAATCTCATCTTCAGAGTCTTCCATAGCCACAGGCTCTGGTTTGAAAGGATCATCTTTCTCCTCTTCATCTTCACTATCAGAGACATGCAGAACTCTTTTTCTTTTCTTATCAACTTTGGCATTCTTTTTAATTGTATTGAGTGTTTTATTATTCTCTTTTGCTGGTGCTACAGTGTTCTGTTTCTTGGATTCTACAACTTTCTTGGATTGTTCAGAAACTTCTATAACTTTCTCAGATTGTTCAGGAACTTCTTCATCCACATCCATTTTCTCAACTTTGACTTCAGTGGTATCCTTCACTAGAGGTGTTATTTGCTTTAAACTATTCTTTTGTTCTATTTCTTTAGTGCCATTTACCACTTTCTTAGCAGGGACACTATTAGATTTGTTGAAAAATCCTGCAATACCTTTTTGAGACTTGTTGACCTTTTTGTTGTCCGATTTTTGGACATTATTACTTGAAGACTCTTTTTTAGGTGAAACAACTTCACTTTTAATAATGGGCTCCGATTTTGTTTCTTGAATCTTAGCGACTTGTTTGACATCATTTACTTTATTGTTGTCATTTTTCTTTTCTTGTTTTACTACTTTTGTACCAGAACTACTGGGTTTCTGCTCAATCATAACATTTTGTTGGCTGTTAGTTTTCAAACCTCCTATTTCTTCAGGTGACCTCTTAACACAAGAGTTACTCTTTACAAGTCCAGTGCATAGCGAAAAATCTGATAAATTAATAAGTGCCATAAGTGAGACATTATCTACTGACGGTGTTCCCACGCTTACACTGTACACATGTTGGTAGAATAACACTTTCAGATTGTTTTTAATTTTTTCTAATTCTGTCTCGTTACAAACCGTAGTTTGAGCTTTATTGGTTTCTAACAATCCAGATATCATGTAATTAATGTTAAGCTGAATATCGGGGTCTTTCTTCTTTAGATAATCAATTATTTCTTTCAGAAGGGACTTGCTTTCGTTCACATGAATACACATTTCTTTGCTAAGTGATACATACGTGACTAGCTTCCGTTCGTCCAGCAACATCTCTTTCAGAGTATTCATATTTTCAGAAATTTTAACCATACTTTATTGGAATAAATGAAAGATAGGTAATTTGTTTTTTCAACGCTTGTGAACGCTTCTGTTGTTTTTTGAGCGCACTTTTTTGACATTTGGAGACGATGACATTTATGACAGCTGACGGCGCCGACGCACTCTTTGTTTTTAATATTTACCCATTTCAGTTTGGCAAAGGAGATCAAGTACACTGATCTTAAAACCAGCCTTGTTAAGGTCATAGCACACTTATCAACTCAGAAAAGTTTTGTATACATTCGTAACTGAATCATTGTTCCCCTTGTGCCGTCAACATAATGGCGCGTGACGTTGCGTTGACTGCGCTCGTTTTTGGCTTTTTAAGTTGTTGTGTGCCTTTTCCTACTTTTAACTTTCAATCTATAAATAAAACTATTCAATTAATAAATTATTGAATAGTGCAAAAGACGCATCCCTACTGGGACTTGTCAAATGTCAACTAAATGTCAATTTGACAATTTAATGTTTCGGCCAGCCGCGATTTTAATTTTGAATGAAATTATTAATATTGATGTAAATACATGAATAATGATGATATTGGAATATATTTTAAAGTTCCACGATCAAGACTGTTTACAAATTATATCAGATGAAGACAATTTGGGCTATTTTAGTATCAAAATTGAGTGAGTGTAAACTTTTGAAGATTTCATAAATCTATTTCTAATTTCCAGTAAACTGATCATCAGGTATTAATAAAATGTTAATGTTATAAATTTACAGCTTTCTGAAACTTTTTGAAACTCATCCAGATGTGGGTGACAAAGTTCTTTGCAATCCTGTAGACAGTTTGCCTACTTGTAGTAGGGACATAATAAAGGCCCAACAAAAGATATTAGAACAAGACGAATATAAACAACAAGTGGTAAAACTAAATTTCAAGTCGTTAAAGAAGAATGTACATGCTAGATTCTTTGGTTTGCCAGTTTGTCCTGAATTACATCGGACTGTATTTCCAAAAAATATAGATCTGGGATGTTTTTTGAAGGTCACAGGTAAAAAAGTTGTTTATTATAATGAATAAATTTTATTATTAGGTATAGTTGTTGCAATTCATGAAGGCGAGTGAGCTTTACATGTGTGGTGGCTCGCTACCATTCATTTTTCAAAAGTTTTGATAGACATTACACTTATTATTATTTGCATGTACATGTACACAAACAAGTAAAGCTCATTTGCTTTGTGAGTTGCAAGAACTATATTTACTAACATAGCAGTTACTAAGTTTTCATTCACACTACTTTTTTTAAATTATGAGATGTGCTTTAAAAACATAGTATGGACTTCTCTCTTCTCTGCACAACTTGACCAATTGAGCAAAAGAAAAGACTCGTTTGATTTATACATCATTAATAAAATTAATTTAACAGGAACAGTTGTAAGAGTAACACAAGCAAAAATGTTAGAATATCAGAGAAAATATGTCTGCATGAAATGCAAGTATGAAAATGAAGTGGAAGCAGACTTTGAAAACCGATACATTTTGAAAGCACCAGCAAAGTGTGGGAACGAAGACACAAGGTGTAAAAGTTCAACTTTCTCACAAGTNACACAAGTTCACTTAGTATCAAGGGAACATTGTAAAGATTATCAGGAAATCAAAATTCAGGTAACTTTAAAGACTAAATACTAATACTAATACTTATAGAATAATTTAAAATTAACTATCACCTCTACTCACATGTGGTTCTAACCATTCTCTATTAGTTTGTACAACTCTGTAAACATTAAGTAAAATAATATTTTTTCACTTACAGGAGTTAGTAAATAAGTTAAGCATAGGAACTATACCTGGATCGATGTGGGTAGTCCTTGAAAATGATCTGGTTGACAGTTGTAAACCTGGAGATGATGTAAACATTTGGTAAGAATTGCTGAAAAGTACCAATACATATTTTTGAATTCAGATAGGATGAAGTGTGAAATCGCTTACTATATCTCTCTCTATAACTCAGTGGTAACAGTCATTTTAAAAAACAAAGCTCATGGGATCTTGAGCCCTTGCTGAGACAGTAGATTTTTCCATGAAAATCGTTTACTAAACCAATCCTTCTAACAACACAGTGGTACAGTTCGTCGCCGGTGGCGTCCTACCGCCCAGAACAAGAAAGCTGAAGTGGAGTTGGTGCTCCAAGCCAACTTTGTGGAAGTCTGCAATTCTCAACGGTCTGATGTGGTGACCGCTGCTCCGGATGTTAAAGAGTGCTTCAGCGAATTCTGGTCTAAGTTTGAAGCTTGCCCTTTGAAAGGAAGAGACCGTATATTAGCTTCAGTGTGTCCTCAGGTGAGTTTATTCTACTTCTTTTAGTCCACACTTGGACATGTCTTTGCAAAAAGAACGCGTTTGTAGCGTTACGCGCGTGCGTAATACTCATTTTACCTTTGTGAAAACAATCGTGCCTGTTGTCCTTTCATTGCATAATTTGTTCAACTCAGGAATTAAAGATTTATGGTGTCAAGTAAAATTGTGATTTTTAGCACTCTTTTACCAAATGATAATAGGAAATAACTCAGAAGTTACATTAATCTAAATTAAGCTCACATTATAAAGAAACTAAATAATCATTCCAGGTCTATGGCCTCCATTTGGTCAAACTGGCAGTGTTGCTGACTGTTATAACAGGCTCAAATCATATAGCAGAGAGTGAGGTGGAAAAAAATGCGTCACCAGACGACAGCCATACTACTAGAGTGCGCGGGCAGTGCCACTTGCTGTTGGTAGGCGATCCAGGTAAACAATAGTTTTATAATTTATTATTTATTTATTTATTTATTATTCATTATTGAGCAATTACATATTTGATCCAAATAGCGTCCTAAATCCTCTTTAGGTTTGTCTAGACACTATTGTTCTCTATACAAATAAAAACAAACGTTTTAGTATAAGCATTCACAACACTTTCAGTTAAGTGCTACTAAGTTACTTTCAATTAAGTGGATTGATGATCTAGTGAAGGTCGCGGGAAACACCTGGATGCGGGCAACACAGGTCCTTGTGAAAATCTTTGGGGGAGGCTCTTGTCAAGCAATAGACGTCCTTTGGATGAAACCGGCAGCGACACATCTATGTAAAATACATGTTTCGTTAAAACACCAAACCTTGACTTGAGATCTAGGCCAGTGTTTTTCAACCTTTTTCATGACACGACCTCCCTAGCATGAAAAAATATTTCGCGACCCCCCGACCGCTCGCTTTTTTTTCATGCATTTTATAATGGTACAAATATATTGTACGAGGGCTGCACTAAAAGTATCGGGAATGGAATATTTCCACTGTTCCAGTCATATTAAAATCTATTTAATTGCAAAGTCCAGGGTTTTAAAAATCGTATACCATTTATTTATTTAANTATGTAACACTAGGTATACAGTGTGAGTCACGTTAAAGTATACCTACATATGAAAATAGATTAAAATAGACCTATTTTTATTGACAAAAAAGAGGTCAAAAATTTTTTGAGACTTCTTTTGAATTTTTTATAGAATTTTTTTTCTTCCAATTACTTTATATTGTAAAAAAAACGTAATAACTTTTAAACTGAGCGGTATATCCTAATAAAATAAAAACAGTAATAATGCTAAATAACAGACGATACTGTAAAAATACATAAAATACCCAGAAAATGCCAACAAATAATAAAAAATGATATTTTTTGAAAAAAATCTGCTTAAAAATTCGTATTTTTTTGGTTATTTGATAAATTTCTCAAAAAAATGCTCCTACAACAGGTGGTTTTTATTACTTTGTATTATTTTCTATCGTATTATCTTTGTAAATTCTCTATCCCTATCACAACATTTGCTATGATCATTTATTATTTGTTGGCCTTTTTTGTGTATTTTATGTATTTTTTTAGTATCGCCTGTTATTTAGCATTATTACTGTTTTTATTTTATCAGGATATACCGCTTAGTTTAAAAGTTATTACGTCAAGCGTCTATCTTACGCGGTTTAGATTTGTCATACAAATGTTTTTTCCCACTAACTCCCGTTCCCGTGGGAATTTTGCAATATCCTGTTGTAACTAAGCTTTAAGTTTACTAAGGTACCTGCATGCCAAAATTCAAGCGTCTAACTTAAGCGGTTTAGATTTTTCATATAAATGTTTTTTCCCGCTAACTCCCGTTCCCGTGGGAATTTTGCAATATCCTGTTGTAACTAAGCTTTAAGTTTACTGAGGTACCTGCATGCCAAATTTCAAGCGTCTAACTTAAGCGGTTTAGATTTTTCATACAAAAGGATTTTCCCGCTGATTCCCGTTCCCGTGGGAATTCCTAAGTATCCTATAACCTGCCCAGGAGTATGAAGAATAATTGTACCAAGTTTCGTTAAAACCCGTAGAGTAATTTTTGTTTCTATAAGGAACATACAGACAGACAGACAGACAGACAGACAAAAATTTTACTGATTGCATTTTTGGCATCAGTATCGATCACAAATCACCCCCTGATAGTTATTTTGAAAATATATTTCATGTACAGAATTGACCTCTCTACAGATTTATTATAAGTATATAGATAACATATTATGTGCTTAATATTATTAAAGGTTGTACCCTAGCTAACCAGCGCCACCATATTTTTTCTTGATTACTTTTGTTATAGACCGAAATTAAAAAGGTGGTTTGAAAAATGTATAATACACTTGCGAGCAAAAGTATGGAATCACTTACATGAAGTTGTTTACACGCGATCTTGTGTACTAACCAATTTGTCAGTAACAAAAAAAGTAGCACCATTTTAAAGATTAAACTTTTAACTTTAAATTGATACCAAATTCATTTAAATCACACCAGTATTTAAAAAGATGTCCCGCCTAATGTGAAGAAGTAAGGAAAAAGACATGTATCAACTGTTGATACGTCGCGAGTTGCAGCCTATTTACCCCCCATAAAAGCAAGTGTTTTCGGATTTTTGCTTTCACACGTTGATCCATACACATTTCCGCTTCTTTTGACACTTTACCTGGGATTCTACACCTTCAGAAGTAGAACAAATCGTTGCACTGTTGCAAGAAGGGCTCAGCCAGCGGGCTGTCGCACATCAGCTCCACATAAGCCAGTCCTGGGTTTCGAAAGTTTTAAGACGCTTTCGGGAGACTGGTGGCTTTATCCCGAGACCAAGTTCTGAACAGCGCCGGTGCACATCACAGAGCGATGACCGTTTTTTCATGTCAACCTCTCTATGAAATCGTCATTTGACTAGTATCGACGTCCAGCAAGAGCTCAGAAATGTTCGTAGGATAGCTGTTAGCGAGTGGACAGTTCGTCTAAGATATGAGCAATAAAATTTGATTCCAAAAAGGCCTACCACAGGCTGCAAACTGACGGCAGGTCACCGACAAGCACGTTTTTGTTACTAACAAATTCGTTAGTACACAAGATCGCGTGGAAACAACTTCATGTAAGTGATTCCATACCTTTGCTCGCGAGTGTATGTATCAAAGCTATTTTTTAAAATAATTGTTTGAATTCATTAGATATTTGCAGCAAGTTACAGATTTAATTACTGCTAAAAGTTACCATTTTAGCTAATTTTGAANAGCTGTGGAAACTTACAAAACGGCCATTTTGGAGACCTAAACTTCCGAATGCAATGGTTGCTTCAATGATTGGTTTCGTGTATGGAAAAATGTGTCAAATTTCGCGGAGAATACTTTAAAAAGCAATAAATACATTTTTAAATAGTAATGTTGTTTCACTTCCTTGATTCCCGAAATTTTCAGTGCCGCCCTCGTAAAGACTGAATACTTCAATCCATACAACATTTACGCATCTTCATAATTAGATGTCTGATAAATCTATCTTGAAAACTTTACTGATTTTTTTAACGAGGTAGTCTTTACGACCTCTTGCGACCTCCCTATAGAGGCTTCGCGACCCCTTGAAAAACACTGATCTAGGCTATCAGGGACTTTATTAGGTAGTATACAGACCCTTAGTAAATGATTTACATTTCAGGCACCGGCAAGTCACAGTTGCTACGTACGGGAGCGGATCTCACCGCGCGATCTGTGTTCACGTCTGGGGCGGGAAGCACTCGTGCTGGCCTCACATGTGCGGCGCTTAGGGTAAGAAGCCGAAGTTACCTATACAGCTAAAGGCCGTATACAGAAAGAAAACTGGAAACTTATAAGCGCTTACCAGCGCTGGTAACCCGCGCAGGAAAATATTTTTTTTTTTTTTTAATCCACATCGAGGAAGCTCTTGGCCTGTATCTCACCTGATGGTAAGTGACGATCAGGCCGAAGGTGGAAGCGAGCTTCACCCGAAATCCTCAACCACNGATTATCTGTGGCGCAAGTTTTAGAGGGGTAAGTATAGTTCCAAAATACTGAACTGTCCTATGCATGACATTGACAGTGGGGCGCCACCGTCAATACCGGATCGCTGGTTTCGATTTTTGCCATGTTGGAAACCATATAGTTGAACGATGGTAGCGCCCCCCTGTCATTGAGTTTGGTGGGACAGTTCAGCGTGGGTCATCTATAAGCTCCTTAAATATTTATGTTACTATTACTTAAAAAAATAGATTAAAAATGTACTCTTCGTGCTGTTGTTAATGTTTTTTTCGTGCTAATGTTTTTTTTTCTTATCCGCCGCCCCCTTTCATATGCCGCCCGGGGCCATGGCCCCCCCTGCCCCCCCCAAGCTACGCCACTGGATAGCCCTCATTGGATGGTATAGATACGACANTTTTTGAATTCAGATAGGATGAAGTGTGAAATCGCATACTATGTCTCTCTCTATAACTCAGTGGTAACAGTAGTCACTTAAAAAGACAAAGCTCATGGGATCTTGAGCCCTTGCTGAGACAGTAGATTTTTCCATGAAAAACATTTACCTAAACCAATCCTTCATAACAGTGGTACAGTACGTCGCCGGTGGCGTCCTACCGTCCAGAACAAGAAAGCTGAAGTGGAGTTGGTGCTCCAAGCCAACTTTGTGGAAGTCTGCAATTCTCAACGGTCAGATGTGGTGACTGCTGCTCCGGATGTTAAAGAGTGCTTCAGCGAATTCTGGTCTAAGTTCGAAGGTTGTCCTTTGAAAGGAAGAGACCGTATATTAGCTTCAGTGTGTCCTCAGGTGAGTGTATAAACTAATTGTTTAAGTCCACACTTGGACATAAGTCTTTGCCAAAAACAATGCGTTCTTAACGCGCGAATTTGTGTTGGTCTTACTATATGAAAAATAAAATAAAGAAGCATTAATATTTTCGGCACTTTTTGTAAATTATAAAAAGGCCTAACTACAGGATTAAACTGTTCTAATTGAGAATTGAATTTAAACTGATATTATAAAGAAAATAATAATAATTACAGGTCTATGGCCTCCATTTGGTCAAACTGGCAGTGTTGCTGACTGTGATAACAGGCTCAAATCATATAGCAGAGAGTGAGGTGGAAAAAAATACGTCACCAGACGACAGCCATACTACTAGAGTGCGCGGGCAGTGTCACTTGCTGTTGGTAGGCGATCCAGGTAAACAATAGTTTTATAATTAAGTGGATTGATGATCTAGTGAAAGTCGCGAGAAACGCCTGAATGCAGGCACCGCAGGACCGGTCATCGTGGAAATCTTTGACGGTGGCCTTTGTCCAGCAGTGGCCGTCCTTTGGATGAAACCTGTAGCGACACATCTATGTAAAGTGAGTTTGTTGCGGCGCTTCTTCTCAGCACTTGCCAAATGTTTGTCTCGAAGCGCTGGTAGGGCAAAAAAAGAATGAGACATGTATAGGCTCCTTAAGAGCATTTGACGATTTGCAAGAACTAATTTAATTAGTCTAAACAAATAAAGATAATTTTGATTTTGATTTTAAAATACATGTTTAGGCTATCAGGGACTTTATTAGGTAGTAAACAGACCCTTATTAAATGATTTACATTTCAGGCACCGGCAAGTCACAGTTGCTACGTACGGGAGCGGATCTCACCGCGCGATCTGTGTTCACGTCTGGGGCCGGCAGTACCCGTGCTGGACTCACTTGTGCGGCGCTTAGGGTAAGAAGCCGAACTTACCTATACAGCTAAAGGCCGTATACAGAAAGAAAACTGGAAACTTAAGCGCTTACCAGCGCTGGTAACCCACGCAGGAAAATATATGAACGCGCGCCGATAAGAACTGAACGGCGCCGACAAGGTTCAACACGTGCTGGTCAGCGCTGGACGCTGCCATATAAAATGCCATTCAACTTGCTTCCTTTGTGAAACGGACCAGCGCTAGCAAGCGCTGGTAAGCGCTTATAAGATTCCAGCTTTCTTTCTGTATACGGCCAAATACTGAAAGCTTATTTTGTTACAAGTATTTTGCATTAAATATAAATATTTTTTACTTATAAGGCGGTTATCACACTGCGGAACGCGTGATTTTCATATAAAAAATCACGCGCGCGGACGCGTTGTCAGTGTGAAGTGCCGCGCGTGTTTTCTATACAAACTGAGGTACTTGCATACAATGATTAAATCTGTCGCCCCGCGCTCCGCGGTGGAGCGCGGCGCAGTGTGATAACCACCTAAGTGATATTGTACTTTTTTGTATTATCAGGAGGATGGCGAATGGCAGTTAGAAGCGGGAGCTTTAGTGCTCTCAGACGGCGGCGTGTGCTGTATCGACGAGATATCCCAGCTTAGCGAGCACGACCGCACCGCCATACACGAAGCTATGGAGCAGCAGACTATCTCCATCGCCAAGGTAAATGATACTACTGTCCACTGCTGGACAAAGGCCTCCCCTAAGGATTCAAAAATCAAAAATATTTATTCAGTTTAGACCACAAGTGGCACTTATGAACGTCAATAGAAAATAAGAAAAAAAAAAGAAAAGGTAGCCCTTATAGGGCACTTTACATGTCTCCTTATCTTTTGGGCCCTACCAGCGCTTCGAGACAAACATAATAATATGGCAAGTGCTGTAACGACCGGACCGGTGATTTCCATATAGACCGGTCCTACGCTGCTCGCTTTCTTCCAGCAACATTCGCCCAGTGACGTAACTACAAGGGGCCCCGAATCCAAAGGGCCGAGCTAAAAAAAATGATTTAAGTAAAATGCACACGTTAAATGGTTTGGGTTACCGATTCGAAATGATAGATGATAGTAGGTACTTATTCATACGTGTTATGATACCAACCAAGGGGCCAGGGCCCCCCCTCAAATGCCACGGGCCTTGGAATGAGGGCTATCGTTTTTATACTTAACAGTTGGCACCCCTGGCGATTGACAGCACCTTACTCTACAGTGGCGCCATCTTGATGAGTGCAAATACGATAGTCCTCCTACCACTTTAGCGCTCACAAGTTGGCGCCACTGTCTTCGCTACTAGCAAGTGACAGGACCTTACTCTACAGTGGCGCTAACTGGTAAGCGCGCTAAAACGATAGCCCTCATTGGATGGTATAGATACGACACTGCTTTCACCAGATCTTCGGTCCACCTAGTGGGGGCCTAGTAATACCTATTATGATGTAGTTAAGGACAAGTTTTGCAACAGAAATTATTAATTTCTGTCTGATGCGTTCTAAGTGTTCGAGCACGACCTGATTTTAAGTCCTTGTTTTTTCCGCAGGCTGGCATCGTATGCAAACTGAACACGCGTTGCGCGGTCATCGCCGCGTGCAACCCGAAGGGCCACTACCAAACTGATCAGCCTCTGAGTGTTAACGTATCGCTCCAGACTCCTTTGTTAAGTAGGTAAATGAAAATTTATTGTNCCGAGCATAGCCCGCTCCATCGCCCTTTGGGTGACCTTGAGCCTTCTTATGAGGCCCATAGTAAGCGACCACGTTTCGGATCCATATATCAACACTGGCAACACACACTGCTCGAATACTTTTGTCTTGAGACACTGCGGTATTTCGGACATGAGTATATGGCGACTAAGGATTGTCTAAGCTAAAATGAAGAAGAAATGGCAATGCCAGATTTTGTATGGAAGGTGGCGTCTTTTTTTTTTCGCGCGGCCATCGACCATATTTTTTTGATTACAAAATAGTGTAATGAACCAAACTTACTATGACATGTATACCTCTAAACTCAGTCTGAACTAAGTTACGAGCATTAGAAGTTTGATGATTTTACATACTAGATTTGCTTTCTGCGCGCAAGTTTTGTAAGAAATTGCAACAAAATAGTGATATTGTATGTGTAAACAAACAATACCATCCATTATAGGCTCCAGCCATCAGTGTGGAGCAGAATCAGCGCAATAAAAAAAGACGTCACTATTTCGTCGCAATTTCTTACCAAACTTGCGCGCAAAAAGCAAATCTAGTATGTAAAATCATCAAACTTCTAACGCTCGTAGTCATGTCATAGTAAGTTTGGTTTATTACACTATTTTGTAACCAAAAAACATGGTTTGGTCGATGGCCGCGCGAAAAAAAAAGACGCCAATTTCCGGCATTGTCTTTTTGTTTCAGGTTCGATTTGATATTCATTCTTTTGGATTCCAAGAACAAAGCATGGGATAAACTAGTCTCGTCTTACATTTTATTTGGAGATTCCAATTCGGCATCAAAAAAAGAGTGGAGCCTTGAAAAATTACAGGTAACTACTTATTTTTTGCTAATAAATAATTTTCTTTACGGCTTTTTAAGATTCAAAATCTATTGGGGAAATGTTTGATGTTAAATAGAAATATATGCCAAATTCTAGATGTACATAAGCTTAGTGGGACCCCGACCGACAACCATGACGAAGTCTGCCAATATGATACTGCAGTCTTACTACATGACGCAAAGAAAATCGGAATACAGGGACCCGTCTCGTACCACTGTAAGAATGCTCGACAGTTTAGTGAGGTATGTATTGTGTTGCGTGTTTCATTTATATCATTCATATTACAGGTAAAATTGTGTTAGTTTCTGTGTAGTGGAGCGGGTATAGGTTTTTTTTTATTTACATTAAATGCGACAAGATTTTTAGACTAAGAATCACAGCTCTGTTACATTATGTTATGTTTTCTGTACTATTTCACCAGCCAAGGAATACACTCGCCTTGGTGTTGATAGAATTGATAGCTATTGATTGTACTTCAACATTTTTTATCATTGTCATTCATTTGTAGCTGTATTTTTTTACTAAATAAGTAGTATTCTATGTACTGTAACTGTACCTATTAATAAATAAATAAATTTCCATGGTAAGATTGGTAATTAATTTTTCAGGTGTAATTTAAAAAACAAATAATGGTTGATGCTATGATGAAACTTTATAATTTTCGTGTTTTAGGCTGTCGCAAGCTCACTGCCGCCTTATGTTCCGCACAACCATTCTGCCAGTGGACGCCATAGTAGCCGTCTCCCTTGTAGACCTCTCCATGCAGGACTGCACTTTGAGTGACACGGTGGATGCATTACATTCCACGTTCCAACGGTGCCCCGACTTCGACTACTTGTGTACAGCAAAGAAACTACTCACAAAACTAAAACTACCTGACATATGGAAAAATGAACTGTTATACTACGGAAAATTGCTCCAAGTAGATCATAAGACCTTAGAAAATGATGTCGATAAAGGAAATTATCAATTGTTCGCTAAATACGATGACGTGACAGATGATAACATTCCACTGTCTGCTACTTTGGTGACAAGTTCATATTTTAATGGTAAGAAAATTCGGCAAAATTGTGATGATGAGGATGCTTTCAAAGACAAAGAAAACACAAACAATTTTAATGATGCCAATGTGAACAGCAAATTCGCTGAAACATTAAAGAAACACGCAACATTAAACAAAGAAGAGAAAGAAATACCAAAATTAGTGAAGAAAAAGAATACAAACAAACGGAAACGAAAAGAGGTGACCATTGATGTAAAACTGGTTAAAAATAAGAAATTAAAGAGATCTAAGAAAACAGAAGCAAGTTCAACAGAAAGTGAGGAAGACACAAGAGATGAAACATTGATTCTCAATGCTGTACCCAGTGTTAATGACATATTTTCTGAATTAGGAATAGATTTAAAATTTGAAAGTGAAAATCATGATGATAAAGATAATTTAGAATTAAGAAACAATGAGGAATCAGATAATCATTTATATGAAGGTAATATTAGAAAAACAAACAAACAGCCTGACCTAAATAAAATGGAAAAACATACTGAGAAGGGAGAATCATCTACAAAAAAACAAACTGAAATGAAAGTAAACAAAAGTACAGAGAAAACAAAACCAGCAAAAGAATCTTCAAATGGTGCAACTTCAAATAAAACATTAGATAAATTGAAACAATTTCAGTTCACAGAGAAACATGACCTGAGTAAATTTTATGAAGAAAAAACTGAAAAACAGTCACCAAGTAAAAATACTGTAGTGAAAATAGAAGATATTAGTACAGTTAGTGTTCCTTGTTCATCCAAAAGCGCTGCAAAACCGAAGTCGTCAGTAACCAACTCACAAATATCGATATTTGAAAGCTTCTGTGATGAAGATAAAACAGAAAAACAGTCGCCCAACAAAAATGCTAAAGTAAAATTAGAAGATTCTAGAGTTCTATGTTCAGCAAACAGACCTAGTAAACTAAAGTCAGTAACTAACTCACAAATATCAATATTTGAAAGTTCAGACTGTGATGAAGAAAAGATAGAAAAACAATCACCTAGCAATGTTCCCTGTATAGAAAACAGTGCTACAAAAGTGAGATCAGTGCCTAACTCCCAAATATCAATATTTGAAAGTTCAGACTGTGATATAGATTTAGATATCTAAAGAGTAAGGAATCATGAATTTACAGTTGTTATTTTTTAAATAAAACTCATGTTGTTAAAAATATTGTTTTCTTAAATGTCTACATTATTGCACTATTAAAACAAGTTTTCCATGGATTATTGAGTGTCAGGATCCACAGCTCCAGATTTATAAGGGTCTTTTTCATAATTTTCTATTAGTAAATTCTTAAACCTTCTTGCTGTGACCACAATATTATCTTCTGTGGCAGCTACATTTATAATTTCTACTCTTGATACATATAAGTGGTCAGGGTTTTTGGGACTGACTGATTTGATCACGTCAACCTCATCTCCAACTTTTACCTATGGAGAAAAAATATTAGGATCTTGATAAAAAACTTTAGTAACGAAATAATTTGTATTGCATATTAAATAATGGATCCTTACCGATGCACTCTTTTTGAGAATTTTCTTTCCATTTACTCTTATTTTGCTTTCATAAAAAACTTGCTCTATTTTGCTGAAATCAAAGATATTTAAAATTAAGCAGAACTAAGATATTGCAGAAATTAGTGACAGAATTTAAATTAAATTCGCAAACTTACTTTCTAGCTACTCCAAGTGCCGACTTCAGTATAACATCAGTGCGCATGGTAGTGGTGTTGAATTTGACTACTTTGGAATCACGTGACAAAGAAGAATCATCGGACTGTACATCACCTTCGTCATCAGAGTCCTGTGCATGTTGCTGAAAGAAACAAGAATCTAGATAAAAAATAACACAGATTTTATTCCACAAACAATAACACATCGAAAATAGCTCAATTATTAAAAGTTAATGCTTCCTAATACAAAATGTTTACCTTTTTAGACTTAAATCGCGAAGAGTTTAGCATAATCGGAGGATATTTAACTACTGTTGAGGTTATGTTTATGTTTTTTAACATGAAATTGTGTACGCATCTTTGGCTTGATACTTGCTTATATATATAATTATTGATGTAAGATGGTCTTATTACACGCCTCCATAGCGAATTCATTTTTAAATGAGTTGTTTTAATTAAAATTAAAGTTGAATTACACAATCACAAGGACGCAAATCACACAAAACAAAATGTCATTGTCAATTGCTGTTTTATAATATTGATAAGAAAATAGAAGTTGCTGCGTCAGCACTTACTTCTTCACTATCTAATTTAAAATCCTGGCTTGATAATAATGGATTAAACTTATCTGCTAATAAAAGTGCCACAGTAATTTTTTCAAGATTGAGAAATCCACCTCCTGTCCAAATTTCTTATGATAATGATTTGATTCCTGTAAAACCTCATCACAAATTTCTGGGAGTAATTCTAGACTCAAAACTGACTGGAAATCAACACTGCGAGTATATTGCAGAAAAGTGTGAAAAAAGAATAAATATTCTCAGATGTTTATCTGGAGTTTGGTGGGGAGCTCACCCTTTTTCAATGAAGCTTATATACAATGCTCTCATCAGAAGTGTTCTGGACTACGGCATGTTTCTTCTCGAGCCAGGCAATAAATCTGCTTTTAAAAAATTAGATCTGATACAGTCAAAAGCTCTCAGAATTGTAACAGGAGCCATGAAAAGTAGTCCAGTAAATGCGCTTCAAGTTGAATGTTGTGATCCTCCTCTCAAATTTAGACGGCAGTTTCTGTGTGATAAATTCCTCTTTCGTACATTCAATTTCTCAAATCATCAACTTTTCCCAAAACTTCACTGCTTATCAGAAAAAGTTCCCATTTCAGACTATTGGAAACATAAAACTATTCCTTGTCTTTTGCACAGCTACAATAAATTAATGTCTCTGTCCTCTCCCATATTCCGTTCAAAACACTTACCATTGTTTCATTGCAGTATTGAATCTCTCTTAGTCCCTATAAATATTTGTTTTCTCCCAATTGATAAACAAGATCTAAACATTGTATCCAAATTTAATGAAATTTTAGACACAGATTATAATGGTTTNTGTGTGCGTGAACTGTGTGTATGTGTGCGTGGACTTTATGTATGTATGTGTGCGTGTACTATGTGTGTATGTGAGCGTTACGTACGTAGGTTAAGTACAGCGAATTTAACACCAGGCTGTCAATTAGTAGGCTCAAAAATTTGACAGAGAGGGTTCTCTATTTCCTATGTATTACTTTTCTCTATGATTGTCAATGTCAGTTGTCAATATCAGCTGTTTTTACTTCTTCTTCTTCTTTTTTGATGATGTTGGCAATACACGTCGAGGTCGACTTGATTTGTGCCATTTTCAAGTATTTATGTGATACGACTTACGAGTTACAAAATGAGATCAAGTATTATAATGAAATAATGAAGGATGATAGATGATACCCCTTCCCACCCTTTGAGTCTCAGTAAAGTTGTGGTGCTTTACAAGGAGGCTTTTTAAGGAGGTCTCACTCCTATGGACAACTTGAGAGAACCAGAAGAATAACGATGCACTGTTCTGCTTCACTTGCCCACACTCATGCACGTTCACGAACACTTAATGGTTAATAATCCACCATTATTACACATTAATAGTCGCCCAAACACGAATTTGAGGAAATAAAACAAAACCGCTAACATGACGCTTCACATTCCCGCCAAGAAGTCCCTGTTTTTACTTTTTTTGTGAGGATACCACGTGGTCCATACAAACTATTCAAACCACAGAGGAAGATTCAAACCACAGATATGGATTAGAGTAGATACAGCAAGTTGCTAGTCAAAGCGTGCCATTCCGATATGTCCAAATGGACATACATGGTCGAGTGATGTTCATGTAATCCGATTACAACAATCGGATACGATGATTTTACGAGGACAGTAGTACGAACACGGTAGAGAGAAGAAATTATTTACGGATTGAGAATTGTAATTAACAGCAACGAGTAACAAATATGTAATTAATTAGAATAAAGTAGCAGAAGAAGAATTATAAAACAAGTTAGATCAGTGATCGCGGAAGACAGAGTGCACTGTATAACGTCGAAATATACAAATCAAGAAGTTAGGTCAGTGATCGCAGTATACACTATTACTACTATGTATACGACGCCCGAGATTTTGTCGTTTAGAAATATCTTCAAAACTAGGTACCTGACTAAGCTTTATGAAAAAAAACGTATTGGCAAAACTACGCATTTTTACATTTATTAAAAATAAAAAGCTTGAGTAAAATAGTCTTTATTTTATGAAACTAGGTCATTTACTTACTAGGATATTTAAAAGTATGGAATTAAGTATGAATTACTAGTAGTACTATTTAACATAATGGAATAACGATCATTACTTTCATAAACATTAGGCACAACAAAAATATTATTTGCAAATTAATAATGTAGAATTGTAGAATAACGTCTACCGCTACATAATTATTTTAATCCACAGTCAGACTAGCTATAAATTTAACAAAATATCAGTTTTATCGGAATTAATTAATTTTTGAATCGAGTCACACGATATCATTCGATGACTTTGCGAATGCAGTACGATGATACGATTACTTTTACGTTGCGGCAATCACTAAAATTCGCTAAAATGACACTAATGACGTTTAAAAAGTGGCACGCTCGGCTTCATACAGATTTTGACACATGCTGCATCTATCTTTATCTGTGCGTGAAAAAGACTATAATCTGTGATTTTGTGTGAGACTTGTCAAATTGACTTGACGTTTAAAATCATGTGTTATCTCCACAGATATGGATTAGAGTAGATACAGCAAGTTGCTAGTCAAAGCGTGCCATTCCGATATGTCCAAATGGACATACATGTTCGAGTGATGTTCATGTAATCCGATTACAACAATCGGATACGATGATTTTACGAGGACAGTAGTACGAACACGGAAGAGAGAAGAAATTATTTACGGATTGAGAATTGTAATTAACAGCAACGAATAACAAATATGTAATTAATTAGAATAAAGTAGCAGAAGAAGAATTATAAAACAAGTTAGATCAGTGATCGCGGAAGACAGAGTGCACTGTATAACGTCGAAATATACAATTCAAGAAGTTAGGTCAGTGATCGCGGTATACACTATTACTACTATGTATACGACGCCCGAGATTTTGTTTATGAAAGAACATTAGGCACAACAAAAATATTATTTGCAAATTAATAATGTAGAATTGTAGAATAACGTCTACCGCTACATAATTATTTTAATACACAGTCAGACTAGCTATAAATTTAACAAAATATCAGTTTTATCGGAATTAATTAATTTTTGAATCGAGTCACACGATATCATTCGATGACTTTGCGAATGCAGTACGATGATACGATTACTTTTACGTTGCGGCAATCACTAAAATTCGCTAAAATGACACTAATGACGTTTAAAAAGTGGCACGCTCGGCTTCATACAAATTTTGACACATGCTGCATCTATCCTTATCTGTGATTCAAACTAATGATGATGGACGACGACAATTTCTTTCGTTAGTAAAATGTATTGCAATTTGCACGGTTATGTTATGATGCATGTTAATCGATTACATGCGCGCTTAATAATTATTAATCTTTATATCACAATTAATATTCAGCTAATAGAAATAAAATAAAATGCTATTGTATTTACCATGCCGCTATTGACGTCATTTCCGTTTCCCGCCAAGAATTCGCAGTTCGTCGCACCGATTCACAGATTAAAAAGTATGTTGCTTGCACCCAGTTTGGTTTGTTTGTTGTTTGTTGCACAGATGAGGCTGTTTGATGTGATCTCAATGCCGGTCTAGATTTGATTGAAAAGCTATTATAAAGTGATTAAAATCAATATTGCAGCGTTACATTGCACATTATTTGTATTTTGTACATTTATTAAGTGTAATCTTTGATATTTGCACATTTCTTCTTTAATTGAATTGTAAAGTTGGTGAAGTGAGAACCAAGGTACAGTTGGTGATATTTTTGAAGTAAATTGCATTCACACAACTGCGAAGATGAGGTGTATGGTTTGTAATAAACTGGGGCATCATTTATGCAATCCCGCCGAACAGGAATCAACTGCAAAAAAACCACCATTGGCTTTAAAAGTAGAAGACATCCAAAATGCTATCGCTTCTGGCTCCGTAC